TTTGAATGTAAAAAGGCAATTCAGCGCCTTAAAAGGCACACGCAAAGAGGAGACGAAACTAGGAAGAAATTTTAGGTCGACTGTTCTAGAAAAAAGCTATTGCGTTATTGGAATTGTGCAGTGTAGTGGAAAAGTCATGATCATGTAGCCAAATAGCGGGTTTCCACTGGCTCTTTTGTGTTAACCGCCTTATATAAGTGTTTTAGTTTTGGTTTCTTATTTTGCTGAAGTGACCATATTTCCCTGACTGACTCCGCTAGCCAAGATTGTTTTCTTTTGCTTTTAATCTACTCTGCTACCCAATCACTTGGGGAAGGAGGGCTGGCTCTAATAAGTGGTCATGCAATTCACCATGCGACTTTCACGTTGCAACTTGTTTTAGCATGAACTTTTTTTTTACAGTTTCTGATATTTAAGGTCACGTATTCTTAAACATAAACAGACATTTTGTTGCATTTTCCTTCCATATGTACAGTCGGGGACAAAAGTCTCCAGGACACGCGAGCTGCGACTGGAACGCATCGCTCTGCCATCTGCCGGTGGGTTGCCTGGTTTCGAGATCACAGAAAAGCGCATGCGCGTCCTACTGCGCCTGCCAACATGTGCGCTTTCCCGCTCTTCTGCGGCGCGGCGCCTAACTCGGAATCGGGCGCGTGGTAATGCCTCGGAGATAGCGCTTACTGACATGGCACCTATCAAGCAAGAAGTCACGGCAACTCAACTGAGCGATAAGCTCAACTGGTTATAAAGCAAGGTGCGCTGACACGGCGAAATGCGGCGCAATGCCTCAGGTGGTAGGTATCTCGAGCTTCGGAATGTGTAGCAGACGCTTGTCAGCCGCCAGCGCTATCTCCAAGGCGGTACCACGCACCCAATTCCGAGTTAAATGCTGTGCCGCAGAAGAGCGGGAAAACAGACATGGTTTGCAGGCAGAGTAGGACGCGCATGCGCTTTTGTGTGGTCTCGAAACCAGGCGACCTGCCGGCAGATGGCAGAGCAATGCGTTTCAGCCGCAGCTCGCACATCCTGGGGAGTTTTGTTCCCGACTGTACATATTCTCTTCAGGAGCGCTTTTTGGAGATACAAAGCATGTGACATTTTGTTGTGAACTGAGTTCTTTTTTACAAGTTACACAGTGTTTTCTGTATAAAGTTTGTGTCATGCAATGGTGTTTAGTGCCGTAGAAATGCAATCGGGCAATGATAATGGTTGGTAGTGGTCTAATGCAGTCAACAAATCTTGGGAGAAGTATGTAAATGTAGAACCCCAGAAAGCTTTCACGAATGCGACATCAAACTGAGGGCTGCCAGGCACACATCTCCGCCTTTTCTAAATCTGTAATGGCGTAATAGTTGGTGGCAAACAAACTAAACGCAGCAGACGGTACCGCTATCACAAGGATGGACCTTCTGCACAGTAATTCGCGTAGTACGCAAGGACATGGGGTGGTGGCAGAACGGCGACCCTGTCTCATCACCCGTCTCATCCCAGGGGAAGCTCTCCGATCGCCCAAAGGCGATTATACTATTCCCTCAAACCACTCCAACCTTGGAGAACGCAGCCTGCACGCTTATGTGTCCAGCAGCTGCCAAGCATGAAGGCTGATGTGTGCCGAATTCTTGTCGTCCGACAACTGTTTTAGGGAGGGTTACGCTAATCCGGCCTGATGCGTCCCATCAATAGTACTTCGTTTATTGTCAATGTTTTATGTTACAATAAGTAGCAGTCAGTACGTTCCTGAGCGTATGAAGCCAGCCATGTCGCGTCAGCGCAAGCGATTCCTCGTGCCTGCCCTTATTACTACAGGGGGTCATTTTTCTCATTTGCCAACGGCTGGAACGCATACTTGTCACGGCGAGGGTCCTCTGGACACGTTCCTTTTTCGAATCCACCGAAAGATTTTAAAAAATTAGAAGCCGACCCCGATCTACAAGAGCAGAAGCCTTGGCGCCTGGCTACTTCTGCAAGCGACACAGCAAACGAGAATCGAGATGGTCCTTTTATGACGTAGTGGTGCGTCACGCGTGACTAGCCAATGGCATGCCGCTGTGGCAATCGCTTCCGTTTTCTTTGCTTTTTTTTCACGTATAGTGATTATTTTGGGTCAAACGGTTGCAATATTTTGACTCGACAGGCACAAACAAGTCAGAATCAACCATTAACTATTTTATTTTCGAAAAGCTCTTCAGATTCCCTTTAAATATGATGCCCAGCTAATAACCTACAGTTTGATAAATAGCAATGCTTAATGCGCCTTGTAGTTCCAGAGAAAAAAAAAATTTTCTGGGAGCACTGAAAATCAGTCTTTTTTACGCGGTAACGAAAGAGTTGAGGCACATTCTCACAGCAGCATCTGCCTCTCTTGGCTGTGTTCCAAACCTTACTTGGGTAGATTCGAGTAACTTTCAGGTTTTCCAAGTGATACAGCGTCGAGTCACCGGCACTTCCGTGCTTTGTGCGATTTCCCTCTACTACGCATTTATACATAGTCATCTTAACTACTGCATATCTTCGTGGGGAAATACTTATCGCACACATTTGTCTCCATTGCAGCACGTCCAAAATCAAGCATTTCGTATCATCACCTTTAGTCACTTTTCATCTGATATTTCTTGGTTTTTCCGCGCTTTTAATATTTTATCTGTTAGCAATTTAAATAAACATACCCTCGGGTTACTTGTGTATAATTTCGTGAACGGCAAACTCGCTCTAACACTTCTTAACGATAATCAGTTTCCACAGCATAAGATAACTCGATTCGCATTTCATCATAACTTGTTATTGCCTAAGCCTAGGACTAACTATGGTAAATTTACCACCAACTTCTCAGCCACGGCTGTGTGGAATTCATTACCTTTAGTCATCAAGCAATCACCATCAATTCACGTGTTTAAGCAGAAACTTCGCATATTTCTTCAGTCCTTTTAGTCATACATTGCTGTCATGACGTCATTGTGCATCTCTCTATTTGATAATTGCCGTTTTGTCTCTCATATTATTGTCATTAGTACTGCATTTCACTTATTCTCAAAATTGATTTGCAATTCCAACTGTTATAACCTTGCTCTGTTTATTCAGTGTTATTTTATTTATAAGTTTATAATTATTATGAGTGTTTAACTTACTGTTATTTTGTTCATTTTATATCACTGCAATTAGTTCTGTGTTTCACTTATTCATGTCATAATTTATTTTCTATTCTGACTGCTGTAAATTTGTTTTATTATTATTGCTACCATTAACAGGAGGTCCCTTTCCAGTCTCTGACTCTGGGACCTCCTTCTGTAATATTTCTAATGTATTTACCTCTGATCTACGCACAATAAAACCTGAAACCTGAAACCTGATACGCGACACGCTTTGAATTGGTTGCCAAGCTTCATGTGAAGCACAGCTGTCCTGACGACTTGCAGTAAATCTTCATATCGTAGTCCACCATAGCGAAAGGGTACTGTATGAATGGGCCTTTATCTAGGAGATGTCAAGCGAGCACACTTGCACATATGGTGGGGGGGTGTGCACAAGGCAAGACATGTGCTTCATTGAAAAAGGGGAGTCGCAAAAGAAACTTTGCATTCTTTTTCCACTGGAGTACTAGCTTTGGTAAGGCTTTCTTTCAGAGACACCATGCACGACGCCCTGTTTGTGTCGTCGATGCATAAAATGTGTACCAAGTTCCTCTATGCAAAATCACCGCGAAGCAATGTACAATACATTATGAGTTCGCACTGGCTTTTTTCTCTTTTTCACCTCAGCTACATCAGTATTCTTTATTATATAGGACTTAGGTGTCTGTACTGTGCCATACTTTGTCAGCTATAATAAACCCTTTCAGAAATTCAGTGCCACCTAGTGGCTCAAATATCAGTCAAAATTTGTGTATGCTAATGACAGATAAAATCTAGCAACTATTCGTCAATGGCAGACATACGAAAGTTATGCTGTTCGCAGTACAGCTCTACTTTTCTCTATTTGTTTCAGTTTCAATGGAGTCAAGAAACTATCACTCTGTACAGGGCACTTACTTGAGTCAATTTCCTGATAATAGTCGCCACTTTTTATTGTCATAAACTGTCTGGGGCTAGGGCGCGTGAATGCCCTTCAGTTTAGGGTGATGCCATTCTTTGCAGTACCTGATGCCACAGCGCTTATTCTCGGGAGAAATACAAAGAAATAGCCGGTAACAAAATGCCGCCGTAGCACTGTCAGTGCCAAGAGATTGCGTCGGGAGACGAACCTTCACGCGCTTCAGAACAAAAAAGAAACAAAAGCATGGGAACAAAATGGCCAGATGTCATCGCCCTAAACAAAGTGCACATGAAAGCACCCTATCTGGGGCGTACCGAAGCCGAGCATTCCAAGGAATCGCATGACACCGTCAAATGCATAACGCACAAAAACTTTTAAGTTTTGTCACGCTGACGTTGAACAATAGAGCGGCTTCACGTCTGGAATGTTCCGGCTCCGCATCGGTGCCAGTCTTCAAATTCTTCCTTCATCAGTCATCAAAAGGCAGCCAACAGCATGTACAGATGAGATATACTTAGATGAAGATAGCTATTGAGGTGGCCAGACTGAATTTCGGAAAGCGTCTATAGGCAAACAGTAACCACCCTGCAATGCCAGTGCCACACAAAAGGTCCTTCCAGATGCGTGATTGCACATGCCAATCGTGGTTCATGGAACATGTGCACAGAAGAAAGAAAGCTATACTCCTTTACTGTGAATGGAAAGCCATAATGTGAGAATAGCCAGCAACTGTTTCTAAATAGGCTTGCAGATACATGTGGTTCCCACAGTATAGCCCAATCTTAATTACAACCACCACAATTGTTTCATACAAAAATAAGGTAAAGATACTCCTCGTATGAATCATGTAAGGACTGTGAAAGGAAACATTTACTCCGGGTTAACCACAGAAAAAAAACGCAAGATTTTCAACTCCCGATACTTTAGCATAAAAATTGCTAACAGCACGAGCCAAGCATAGCGGAACATACCTTTAACTTGTCCCCATTGGTTTCAATGATGTTCTTGACAGTCTCAGAAACAAGGTAGATGGTGCGTTTGTTCTCCTGCTGGCATCGACCCAGAAGCTGGGTATTTGGGAAGCTCTCGTCCACCTTGTAGAAGTCCCTGTAAAAGGTAAGGCCTCACCTAGCTTTGAAAACCTTTAAGGGGAGACACTAGCTAGAGATTTAACTTCTGAACTACTCAAGTGAGCGGAATGAAATTTGCAGGGAATATTTAACATCAGATGTATGTGTATTGTGCAAGCTTTAGCTCTCTAAGACAATTCGACATACCTGCATAAGAAGGTGTGTCACTCTTTGCTAAGAAATCTATGATATGCAAATGAAGCTATAAAGCACCATTTTGACTGCTTGAATATAAAGTGGGGGATGTGAGACTTCGAACTATCTATTTTTTTTTTTATAACTCAAATGTAAATATTTTAGGAAGAGTTATTACCTCAAAATACGGGATGCATATCTGTTCAATGTCAGTTTTTCCCTTAATGAGGACTTCAACTTAAAACAAAAGAAAGTAGATAGCCTGATTCCCCAGTAAATTTCAGTTCAGAAACATTTTGATTGTGGTATCAGAATACTTTTACTACCTTCGAAATGCAGCAAAAGTAGAAATGAAATTTGCAGCAAAAAGTAGAACTCGGAAAAATGCATTCAACCATTGAACTCCTTTACTTTGTTACTGCCTCACAATCTGTCGAAATAATTTTATATCAATGTAATTATTTGGCGTATGGTTACCAAATTTAGTGTAAGGGTGTATAATTAGTTTCTAAAAAGAAAACCTCAAATTTGAACAATTTAAAAAAAAAATTTAATATTTAGGCTTATATTCCCCTTAAAAAAAATCAATGTATTGACAATCCTTGAGAGTCACCTCACTGTCTTCCAGATCTCATCGTCTTCAGTTAGGAACACAAAGGGGTCTTCCTTGTAGCCTTGGATTCTTCGCTTCTTTCTTGGAGCTACACTGGACCAGTTAAGAACAAGAATATCTACTGTTTATGAAAGTTCTTTCTAGAAATATTTTCTCCAGAATAAAAACCAATGTTCTTACATTTTTTCTTGTCTGACAGTTTGATTTTCTTCTTCACCTAAAAAATGTAACACTTTATTGCGACATTTACCCTTTGATACCAAGAACATTTCATGGCAAAAATGCTTACCATTTTCTTCAGCAAGTGTCGTTGGCTTGGCTCTGTTCTGCGATTCCCAGGGCAATTTTGATCCAGTCTTTTTGAGTACAGCAACAAAGAACCCTCCAGTGTCTTGCTGGTGTGGTAGTATCCTGACACTGTAAACCAAGGTAAATATGCAGTTCACCATGTATTTTAGAAAGGTATACTGAAGTGCATATATATTGTGTTATAATTAGTAGAGCATCGTATAGGCCCGAACCGTAATGGCTGTTCAAGTCGCACGCAGATTTCCGGTTTTCAGAATTAGTTGTATCCATGGTCCCGGACATCCCTTTATTTTGGTTTTCAGAACGAGTTTCATCCAGTGTCTCGCATCTCTTTACACAAGGTGCGTTTGACGTGAAACATTCTTTGGCTAGGTGTCCGGCATTTCGTAAAGCTTAAAAGTGAAGCCTGGATAAAAGCGTGGCCGCGAGGCTCGATACTGATTGGTTGACGGGTGGGAGAGGAGGAGCGATGTGCTCGACGAATATTGGTCAACGGGGAGGCGTAGGTGAGGAGAAGCTCCACCACCTGTGCGCACTGAATGAGAGGAGTTCGAGAGTAAGGAAAGTTCTGGAAGATCACCAGGTTCATCACCCCGATTAGCGGTAGTATCGCTTCATTCTAGGAACAACTATCAAGTGTACACATGGTATGCATTAAACTATCTGATGAGGAGCGCCGTGAACTTAGGCGTCTCGCGTCTGGAAACTCGGAGTATCGCTAAATGTTTGTGATGATAGAATGTTTCATGTATGCAACACAATTGCCTAGCAATTTTAAAGCGACAGCTTTATGGGCGACACTTTGCAGAGATTTCAATCTCGTCCGTTGTCGTCCCCGCTATGGAAAAACCCTTCTTTCCGCTCTTGGCGCAAGGCCAGGGAAGTCGGGTTTTCCCGTCCGCTGCACAGCGTGGAAATGGGGAGCCCCGGCATCCCGCCAGTACAACGCAATGAAAGGAGAGTCTTCCGAGTCGTCTGCTTGAAAGACTTGTTTTCAAACATTACTTAAGCGAAATCCCACTTAGCAGTATCCAGTTGCTATGCGTAATGTCGGATGGTTTTAGAAACTTCCACTGTGCTTACCCACTTACTTTACAGATCACCGAACTCTGGTGGCGGTCATCCGTGGCATCCACAACGGCCATGCGAATTAACCACGTTGCACTTCGGTCTTCAGGTATGTGACGGCACCATTCCACCCGCATTATGCGATCGTACTACAGCTATCACTTTTGTTTCTTCGCACATTGTGGGCAAAAATAGACCTTTTAGGCTTCACCGATTTGTTAAAAAAAAAAAAAAAGTGAAAGCTACATTAATGTGGTCTGTGCAGGTGAGTTATACGGACAGGGGGACATTATATAGGGGGCTAATCGTTGCAATACATTGGATAAGTAACTAAAATAGGTTCCTTAAACTTTTTGTTTAGTGATAATAAACATATGGCTTCAATTAGAAACTTGCCAATCGTCATCGAAAACCACTAAATAAGTAAATTTTAGAGAGGTGTGAGACATGCACTGGTGCACTAATGTTACCACTCATGCAGTGGGCACAATGCTGGAGCTGCGAAAACGCAAACGCAGCTGAAAGAGACGGAAAAACCATGCGGGTGTGTTTTCACACCACTAGCCGTGCGCCTGTTGCACGATTGGTAACTTTGGCGCACCACCATGCTCCCCACCCACCCCAAATCTTTTTAAAATGTAGTAATTATTTATGGTTTCTGATTGGAAACATACTTAAGGGGAAACACTACTCCGGAAGGCTAACTTTTGAACCGTTTGTCTTATTTGCATGAAATTTGCAGGGTGTACTCATAGCACTGGACAAGGATGCTGTGGGAATTTTCAACCCTATAAATTTATCCCACGATGAGTTACATAAAAGTTCATAATAAAAAAGAGTGTCTGCTGAGGAAAGCTATCGTTTTGAAAGGGTAATGAAAATGGCCAGTTTTTTTGCTGGCACATACAGCAGAATACTAGCTTCAGACGACTATAAAAATAAATTTCAAAATTTATAAAAATTATTCACAAAAAAAAAATATGGAAAAAATATTTTTTGGTCTACATTTGATTTAAAAGAAATATAAACTTTTCATAACAAAAGAGCATAAAAATGCAGAAAGTAAGTTCACAGTCATGTTCTCCAGAAAATTTCAATATAGAAAAACCAAAATATATCTGCACGCATAACTTGATTATGAAACGATAGCTTCCCGAACTGATATTTGACACTAAAAAGTGAAGCTGAGATAAATGCACTTGAAGTTTCATGATGACGTTTAAAAAAGTTATTTTTGCGTCTTAAATGTCAGAAATTCTTTCCACCAGTGTAGGTGATGTCTTCCTCAAACATCTTCTGATATACTGACATTGCTTTCAGCTATTTTCACTTGTGGATGACGGTGCTACGCAGTGCAGCACACCTCACCAACATATAAAGAATAATTATTTTTGACATCGTTTGTCAGTACACATTGACAAGACTTTGTGAGAGTGTTCTTTGTTATCCATACATGCCAAAACTTTGCAGTTCTGAATATGCATTTTTTTTTAAAAAGGTGCAATTTAACTCCACTCAAAAAGTCGACCCAATGAAAATGGCTGATATCGCTTTAGGGGGTCAAAATATGGTCATACTCAAAATATCACGTCAAACCGACGCCACATTCCTGATTAAAACCAACATTAAAAATGTCCTACCAGCTGGGTTAGCGGTCTGACAGCAGGCGAGCAATGCTGGCACCGGGTGAGGTAGTGAAGCAACACTGAGCAATGGCATAGGTTTCGTCTTATGCTCTCTTACGGACGCCGCGGACGCTTTGTTTCCCGTGGCATTCTGCTGACCAGCAAGAGGTGCTTACCTGTGTTCTCCTATTTTTATTACCATCATGGCTGTTCATTTTAAGTCAAGCATAGCTTCTGCAACCGCGTGGGAAAAAGCAAAGCAGTGCAGCTCACTCATTTGTGTGTCGTGGAGCCGGAGAGACTCGCCAGACTCGCGTTGGTCAATGCCAAGCACGACTTGCAGTGCTGTGGGTTGCACCAACAATCTGGTGCGTAACCCGGAGCTGCGGTTTCACCAGTTCCCAAGGGACCGGAAGAGGCACAAGGTGTGGGTCGGTGACGTTCGCCGGATAAAATTCGAAAGACCGTGGACTCCGAGCTCTAACGCAAAGCTCTGCTCCCAGCACTTTACGCCAGACAGCTACGCACGGGATCTGCGGCTGCTGACTGCTGCGGGTTTCTTCACGAAACACGAGTCTTTGAAGAATGATGCGGTGCCATCGCTGTTCACATACTGTCTGCAAGCTGCTACAGCACGAGTGGCCGGTCGCAGCAGCTAGGTCGCGGCAGCTCTAACTAGCGCACACATAAAGGCAGGTTACCTTTAACAACTTAGACCACTTGTGGATACCATCTGTCCATCTGTCTTCAATTATTTCTGTTTCTCTTGGTTCACGAGCAAGAAACAAACCCAGTCACGCTGCGCCGGCACTGACGTCGTCGTATTATTTATAGCAGTCGGATTCGCTCTTCGGCCGGCAAATTTACAAATACACATTAACACTTACTACACTTGGTGCATATTTACAAAGTTCATCGGTAAAAAAGAAAATGTGCAACTTACCTACTCACCTTTTGTTTTGAAATTCCACGAGCGACTGAGCCGACCGTGTCGGCTCAGAAACGCGGGACGAGATCAATGTCACGCCGTCGACGCACAGCTGATTATCAGTGTTGCCAAGCTGCTCGAGCTGGTAGTTTCGGTTTCGCCGTGCCGCCGAAACGAAACTTAGATACGCGATATCAACAAAGTTATAAACACTACCGAAAAACAAATTATATCTCGTGATTCAGGGTCGCCGACTTCGACTAAACAGATCATTCATAACCCAAAAATCATAAAAATGAAGTGGAATTAAACGACAAATGAAACAGCATGTAAAATATAGAAGACAGGGGAAGTCTTGTGTGCTTCTCTCCAGTCTTCGTTGTTTTGCACGCAGTTTCATTTATTGCTTAAACATGAACCAACTCGCCCACATCGCCACTCTAATGGATGCTATCTTTATCTTCAAGAATTCAAACGCTAATTAACATATTTAAGTTAATTAACCTATTTATTGTGACAATCATTCCCCTATTATATCCCCCTGGCTGCATAACTCACTTAAACAGACCACATTAGAGTAGTTTTCACGGCTTCTTAAAAACAAATCTGTAGTCTTAAAAAAAAAAAAAAACTATGTGATGTATGTGTTGAGAAGAAAACTCACCAGCGCTCCAATTTCAACTGTGCAGCCACCTCAGGAGATGGTGGGAACATCTGAGCTCTGATCTGTGTGTGGTACATCTCGGGCACTTGGTCAAATGAGGTGTACACCGCCATGTCTTTGCTTGACACCTTCCACGTGGTGAGCCCTGGCCTGCTCACGAGTCCAGGCAGACGACCACTGACGTCTACCAGCTCTACTGCCCCTACGAGGACAGACATGCAATGCACAAAGTCAAAACTGCCTCAGTTCCATCTGCCACCCCCTTCGTGGGAACTCTATTGGCATTACAGACTCATAATTTAACTAAAAAACCAACAAAGGTGCTAGAAACTAAACTGTTCTGTCAGTAAAAAGACATAAAATGTCCGCATAACAATTGATGGAGTGCAAGCATCTATTAGTATAGAGAATTCTTCACTTGGGATGAATATTAAAAGAAATTTTGTCAACTTACCTTCACACTGTAACAACAAGCTTGCAACAACAGCTTCATCTTCCAAAGGGTTCAACGAGCATGTAGAGTAGACCAAGATACCACCCTCAGCCAAGAGTTCCAATCCACGACGAGCAATTCGTACTTGCAGACTGTAAAATTCGTCACAAATCTTAAGTTTGAAACTATTAAATGACGTCTTAATGAAGGCTACGGTGATAAGTATGCTTATAACTATTCTAAAGCACAGCTCTTGGGCGTCCGTTTCCAGCTAGAGCGACGTCGCCGTCGGCGTAACCGCGCATTCCATTATGGGACGTTTTCCATAATGGCGTCACGAGGAAAGAGGAGGGGGAGGAGGTGGAAGTGTGGAGGAGGAGGAGAAGGGAGGAGGGGGAGTAGCAGGATGACAAAACATCTACTATCCTAAGCACAACCCTTGGATGGGCCAACGGAGCCAGTCACCGAAGCGAACGCCTTCTTGTATTTTCCCCGAGTCGTCAAAGACTCTGGCAGCTTGCGGTGATGACTCCAGCGGCCGGAATGGAGGAAACGAGAAATGCATCCCAAAGTCATTACCAATTTGGGCACGCGTGCGCATTGGCATTGGCAAGGAGTTTGAGGACAAACCGTTTGTCTCGAAACAACTCACTAAAACTCCCTATTGTGCAATTTTACCATTCTATAACCTAACAAACTGGATAATAAAGCCATTAGTAAAACAATGTCTGTTTATTTATCTATTACACTAACCCCAAGGCCTAGGGGCATTGAAGATGCGGTAAGCATACACTCTGCATACCAAGCGGGCATTATTTTACAATTTTATATGCATTGCCCATGCAATATTCATAATGCCTGCTTTCCAAAGATGACTTGATCACACACAGAAAGAAACCGAGTCCAAAACGGTGCACACACCCATGAATGCTGTTCCCATTGGCAACATTCCATTTCCTCCAGAGGTCGACGTTTTTTCTTAAGGTACCATCACCCCTAAAAGGCAAAAGAATGTACTTTACGCAAACACTTTTACAGAATCTATCAGCTTCCAAACGTGAATACACTCACACTAGCCATCCATGTCGTTACAACTTTACTTTGCACATTTGTTATTGAACTATGTGCCATTATAAGAAACCAAAGTGAATGCAGTGTTTTATGGATTCGAAACGTTAACAACTTCTATCATTGTAACTAAATACACAATTTTGTTGCAAAAAAAAGCCCAGAAACCTAATCTATCAGTGTTACGAGACATTTTTCTTCTAACACGCCATTTAACAAATATCATGCCAGCTAATGTGTCTCATGTTTTTATAGCTTTTTAATTGTGCCTCAAGTGCTTGACAACAGCATAAAAGCCATCGAGGCGGTGCAGCAGCTCAATGCAAAAGCTTGTAAACAATTCGAAGATGTAATACCAGGCACAACAAAAAAATTAAAATGTTTGCAATCCTCAAAAAAATACTAGTCTAAAAAGGATTTCTAAGGGTGGTACTCACGAGCAGGGAACATCACACAAAATTCGGTCATACTTCACCACCTCCTGGGTCCCATCCTAAAAACAAGAAAATGTATAGCATAGTGACTGTAACGGTAAAATGGGTGAAAGAGCTGCTTTAGCAATGCTCATTCTGAGGACATACAAAACATGAATATGATACAATACAAAAGATTTTCATGAGCTCTGTAATTCACTGAAACCTAATTCCTTGTCCAGGAAAAAGTGTGCTGCAAACAATTTAAAATGACCAAGGTGCACGTTGGTGAAGATGCTACAAAAAACATGAAAAAAAAACAAAAAAAAAAACAGAGGGGCAGAAAAAAGAACATCCCAGATATGCGAATGACTAAATTCCATAGAGTTGTTTTTATTCTTTCGTGTGTCTTGCAAACAATTTGCTGAATGGCACTAATTTTATGTTACTGAAGTACTATAGCCTATGTCTTCAGCCAAATGAGAGTACAGTGTGAAGAACAAGGTCTCGAGACCTTCATTGTATTGTAAACGTTACTATTTTTCCAAGCTCGACATTTGCCAACTTGACCAAGGTATATAAAATTTCAGAAGGGCAGAGGAGTAGAGATGGTGAAGCTTAGATAATTGTTTCTTGGATTAGTGTTTTGTATGAAACTTCCAAAATCTGAGACCTTCCCATCATATTCTAGCATACAAGGTGTTCAAACCAACCTTGTTGGTAAGATATATGTTGGGCATGGCAGCTGCATCATGGTTTGTCACGAGGCAGCAGGTGGAATGAAGCCGCTTGGCCTGGTGCACCAGCATGTAACAGCGCTTGTTGTCCACATCATTGGCTACCACCACCCCAGTCGGGATGTTGCTCACGCGGCCATGCAGCATTTCCATCAGTTGGGCTGTCTTGGAGCCAGGAGCTGCACACATGTCCAACACCTGCAATTGGGTGACTTAGGTTAGCAGTGTACATTCTGCAAGAAGCACTGCCAGAGTTATGTTGAAGAACCTTCATAACATCACATACTAATATTATGACAAACAACAGCACTACACTTTTGAGAGTTTACAGTGATGATTTACTAGACTCCCCTTTGTAACGGTGTGGTAACAAACACCACCATGCTGGAGTTATTTATATAGATTTATTATTCTTTCCTAACTTTAGTAATAATAACCGTGAAGATGGGTGCCCCATGCAATTATTTTCCGTATGCCTAATCCACTCCGAATTTGACGTGGGACATGCCCTTCTGTATAGTAATATCCCTGCGTCTATACCACGAACATGTTTACTTCTGGATGAATTGATAAAATAGATGGCTATCCCGAGCCCTCCCTTTGGATCGGGCAACAGCTTGCACCACCTAGCCAGTTTTTTTGTTTGTTTCTTTCTCGAATAAGATTTAAGATATAATAAACCGAAATTAAGGTTTAGTCTTTTCATTTCCCCCCAAATGATCTCTGCTTTGTTTCACTTTATGATGGGCCGCACAGGACGCGAAGAGCCATCCAATCGTAGTAAATCCAATGCCGTGAACATATCATGCGAAGGTCATGTAACACACACACACTATGAGATTGGCCTCAATGGCTTGTAGCGTCTTCTGCGGTCCATCATAAGATGAAAGAGAGTATAGGTGAAACAGTGTAGTGGCAACCACCATGCTCCGTTTACATAGCAAACTCCAATTTTAAAGAAAGGTGCCAGAAAAAACTAAAGTTTTAGCCTGTTAGTGAATAAATCAATACATAGAGGCAAAATTCAGAGAGCAAAGGGAACAATGGCATGAATTGTACGAGCTTGAGCATAAAGCAGTTCAGGGACATGTATGGTTATGCTATCAATTGTCCAGCACAAGCAGATTGCCTCAGGTGGCTCGCTGATGGAGGACTTTCAAGAACCTTCATTTGGTTACAACAGCAGTCTCGCAGCCTATCTATTAATACTCAGATAAAAAGGAAAAACATTCACTCTTCTGGTCCCACCTGTTCTTAAAAGTATGCATGGACAAATTGATAAAATAACTGAATGTAGGTGCTTTTCAATCATAGGTACTCAGTTTGTATAACTTTCCACAATTTTGTTTTTAGATGCACCTTTCCCTTGATGGTTCTACACAAACCACGAACAAAACATGAATTAATAAACTGTTTTCCTCATCAATTCTCAGCAACCCACAAATACAAGGAAATAAAAAAAGTGGTTCAATGCAGATTAAACTGGAGTAACAAGAAGCAAAACTTGCATAGTTAAACATGGAATAAACCTACTGCTTTCAAGACCGGCTATAACGAAGTCAACGGGAACTGGAAATCACTTCGCTATATCCGCTATTTCGTTGCAACCAACTTCGGTTGTAATGAAGTGCAAAAGGGAATGGGAAATCGTGATCACTTCGCTGTAGCCGCTATTTCGTTATAACTAGGGATACGCGTTTTCAGTTTTTATTTTTTCAAAATTCGGCGTACTTTTTTCAGTGTTTATTTTAAAATTCAATTTTCGGTTTTTTTTCAGTGTATATTTATTCCCAAAAAGGATTACCGTTTTTTTTCTGTGAATATGAAAGAAACACCATCGGACACCAGATCAGGTGACCCTTAACCCTTTGCGGTCCGAAATATTTACCAATTCGGCAGCTTTTCCGGTCAGAAACTATATTATGCATATTACTAGTGGACAAAGAAAAAGTGGAGTTGTGTACAAAGGAAACATGAGACGTTTATTTCTGGCGATTATTCTCTCTCCCATGAGTTCTAGCAGAACTTCTTCATTGTGTGGAACCTCTCAAAGCACTCTCCTGGGTGCAGGCCGGGGTTCTTGGAGCACGTCTTGCAGAAAAACACTGTTTCCCTTTGGCCACCTTTTGTCTTGCGGTCACTACAGACAGCGCAGTCCTTGCTGCCACGTCCGTCTAGTTTGTAAATAAAGTGTGGCTTCCCATCCAGTCTTTCCTCGGTATCCGACTGGAATGCCAGACCTCTCTTTTTGGGTCGAACTCGTCGGTCTCCTACAAGCTGGTCAATGAGGTTCCGACGGTAGCGGAGGTGGCGAGACGTTTTTTGTCCCATGCGCGGCCTGCTCCATTTTCATCAAAAGAAAGCTATTCACTATGGACACCTCCAAAATCCAAAAGAACAGCTTCCTCCACCATTTGATGGATTTTCTTGTGAAGCTGTAGCTCGCAATGTAGTGGTCAGCCCTGTCGACTGCCCCCATGTTCTCAGTGTAGTCGCAGATGACAATAGGCTTGTCCAGTGTGAGGGTTTGGCCTCGTGCTTGCCTTGTCACTTGCTTCATGGCGGGATTGTGAGCGGAGCTAACCACAGTGACTTGGCGCTTGTCGTGCCATGCAAGTGCCATGTAGGAGTTTCCCTGCCGATAGACAGCCACATCGCCTTTCTACATTTTTTTCTTTTGTTGTTGCGGCATGTTCTTCCTGCTCGTCATGGCAATCCCGGTCAGCAACACATCCTGGGCAAGACACTCCTCTGCGAGCTGCGGCGACGCGTAGAATCGGTCCGTGTACATGTGATAGCCACTTCCTCCAGAGGCGTGCATGACTTTCTCGAGGAGGTGTAGGACAATCCGGCAGGTGAATGGCAGATCCGGGCGGCAGAGGCTCTCTGTGGTGGTGCTGCCGTAGTACGGTTCAAACGCCGACACGTAACCGGTCGCACAGTCGGCCAGTACGTAGAACATGAGGCCCCACTTTGTCAGCTTCTGGGGGTTATAACACTTGAAGGATATACGACCCTTGAAACCGACAGTGCTCTCATCCACGCGGATCTTTGGTCCAGCCTTGAAATGCTCTCTGCATTTTATGTCGATGTACTTCACAACGTTTCTGACCTTGCTGCCGCGTGTTGGTCAGGTTTGAGAACTTTGACGGTCTGGGGATACGTGCAACATCCAGAAGATTTGTAGAAATCTTGTACGAGAGAAGACCGATGGAAAGAATGGCATCTTGTTCAGGATGTCCTGTCAGAAGTATTCCTTGATGTCGGACTTTGGGTTCAGTGCCATGTTCATCACCACACCAAGGAAGGCTTTGAATTCAGGCACTGTGACATCTTCCCAGCTTTCCCACACTGACTGTTCCGGAAGGGGCTGAGCGTTTGCAATTTTTTCCCATGCATACCTGTTGGTTTTTTGCACAATTTCTTCCATCAGTTTGTCCGTGAAAAACAGCTGAAAGTAGTCCAGTTCAGAGTGGAGATTCGAGATGTGTGCCTGTGCCCCTGGACTGCTGACAGTGAATGGAAGAGCAGGAAAATCGGGAAGGTCTCGAGAGTAAGGAAGGTCCATGTGGTGGAGCGTCTCCACAATTGCCATCTCCTGCAGCGTCTTCGTCCTCATCGGTAAGCTCGCTGTCATTAGAGCTCATTTCTTCTTCTGAAAGAAGAATATAGTTCTCTTCTTCACTGAAATCACCTTCGCTCTCAGCGAATTCGCGCAAAGAGTTTCCGTAAAAAGCACGCAGAGAAAAGGAAGCCATGCAGTCTTGTCAACGCGCGGAGCACGAGCGTTCATCGCGCGAGACGCGGGTTTGAAAAACATTCCATCGCTTATGTAATGTGCTGCCATCTCTGAGAGACGGAGAAAAGCTGCCCAAACGAAGACTTCAAATACCCTCCCATCGATGGCACCACCAAACCGCAAGCGCATGATTTGGCCACGCTTGACGGATTGTTGGGCGACGCCCGACACCTGACCGCAACGGAAGTCCAGTGATGTCGGGCGAGGCCTGACTCATGACCGCAAAGGGTTAAAGCTGTGATATTTGTGATCTCTCAAAGAATAACCGACACATATAAATATGTGGTCTTCGCAACAACTTCCGTCAGGACACACCTCAAAATTGCAGAATTCGCGGGCATAATCTTCAGCGTGCTTCATTTTCCTTCCCATTCTGACGATGTGACCGTCTGAGGTGATGACTGCACAAAAACCAGCAAAATGGCGAAAAAAAAAAATCCATTGTATTTATGTTTTTAACTACAATGAAGTTTGAAAGATGGTGTTAAGATGGCGCACCTCAGAGCCCTGTAGAGAATACATGAGGTTTTTCACCAACTTAAAAACTTCTCACGTAATAACGGCTGCGCGGATCTTCTTGAAAATTTCGGCCTTAAAGACATTGAGTCATTATCGAGACATTAAGCGCAACAAATGTTTCATTATAAATTTAATTATATTCTTAAAAAATTCATAAAAATGGTCAAAATCGGCTAATTCGGCACTCTTGCGTTCGGAGCGAATTTACAAAATTATCTAAATGCAAACATAAGAAGTGTTGCATTTAATGTCTTCTAAATTGATTACGGAATCCAATAATATCCAAATTATTCATGTAAGTCGATCTGTTCCGTAACTACAGCAAATATAAAGAACCAAGGTGTCGGTGCTTGTTTTCGTTGTTTATAAGGTACCTCTCTCTCCCGTGCGGTGTCGCTCTCCACGAAATGCGAAATCGTCCGTTCGGAGATCGGCACAGTGCAAGGTGTTCTTCCGCGGCCAGATTCCGCGCCCGTATCCTGTTTCATTCTGCACGCCGAGGTGTCAGTGTGCGTGTCTTGCTTTCCTGGTTCTCGGTGGGTAGGTCTCCGTGTTTTCGCAAGTGGCAAATTCACCTTGGAGCTATGGGTCGAAGACAACCGTCCTGTGGCAAGCGGACCGCGAAGTGTTCCACAACCTCGCGGTCCGTCAACGCGTTGTGCTTGTTTCTACTTTTTTTTCTTTTAAAAACGGCCTTTTTTTTTTTTGGCGCAAAGTTTTATTTTATTGTTATCCTTCACACAAACGTCCTTCGGCCTTGGAGTCTTGGAAATCGGCGATGAGGCGTGCACAGAGTAGATCGTTCTTTGCCTCCTTTTATTTTTCACGGACGCCCTGTGACCTCCGTACGGTTCGTGGTCACCGCAATCTAAAGCGGGGAAAAACGGGCCGCCTGCTCTGTAGTCAGGGTATTCCTAGGGGAGGGTGATAACGCGCTGTTCTTCTGGAAATTCACATATTGCCCAAAAAGGTGACATGGGTAATGATTAGGGTATGTTTTTTAAGGTGTTTATTCTTGAGCAAAAATCGGTGCATGTTTTTCGGTGCTTATTTTATAATCACCAGTGTATTAATTATGGTTGAACGTCTTGTGATGACGCTAAAAAGCATTGATAACCAAAGAAAAATGCGATAGGACAAGAACATTTCAAATTTCCAATTCTATTCACATATCTCATACGCTCTTCTCGTGGGAGAATCTATCCTGACGAAAAATGCCTAAGTCATTGAGCTGTGAACGCATACTCAGTGTACAATCTTTCGGCCTAGAGAGGTATTGCACACGCTCGAACGCGCTTCACAGCCCAGTAGACGAAGTTGGTGGCACTCAGAAGGCAAGTTTTTGAATGGTCTGTGGTAGGCAAAAGAAACAAATAACAATCAACGCATATCAGTTCTTCAAGCGAAGAGGCGCGTTTTTAAGGTCAATGGTTCCGGACGGCACTAATGTTGTTGGCGTTGTCGTAAGATGACGTCACTTCATACGAGTTGACGTCATGTTACGTGATCACGTGACACAAACACGTCATCTTACATGATCTCGTTAACGAAATGACGTCATCTTACGTGACCACGCTACACGAAATGACGCCATCTTACGTGATCACGTAACACGTCATCTTGTAAGTCAACCTCTCCCCACAGCAGCGCGCTCCGCGCTTCCCGGGCCCGTGCAGTGCTGTAGCCGAAAGCAAGCTCCCTATGGCAAGCGAAAGCTTCTGAAGTCTTACATTGAGAATACTCGCAAGCGACCATCTGTGGAAGCTTCGCAAGTTGAGGTTTTTGTTGAGATCGAGCCATCGTGTTCCATTAACTATTGTTGAAGTTATCGTTCAATAAAGCCCTAAAAAATATGAATGTAGTTGGTGTAGACATCAAGATCTAATCACAAATGCGGTTTGACGTTGTTTAATTAACGTGTATATACAAGTGTAGAAATATATGAGTTAATATAGTAGCTATAATATAGTAAATATATGAGGCTACTGTGTTCTTCAGAGAAGACGATTTTAGGAGCCTGCAGTGTTACCCCAGGTGCAGGATTGAGAGCGTAACCCACGCACTTGAAGAGAAGGGGAAGCTCTCGTGTTGTCGGGACTCTCTTTTATGGGTTTCCACGTTGCGATTGTCCTTCAAAATCAACTGTCATTTATTTCTCGCTTGTGGCTTCCAAGCACTGGAAGCCACGAGCCACAATAGTTTTGCGAAATCAAGGTTTCGCTGAAATGGATAACTCTCACGTACAGTTCGACGCGTAATACCTTTGCTGTATTGACTCGCAAGAGATGCCCCCAACACGGCTGAGTATAGCGGTGCTCCAGACCTAACATCTAAATTTTGTTGCCTTACCTGTTACTATTTCACGCCCATTTTGAGCCATATCAAAATGAAAGCGCATGATGAAATAAAAGTGACGCTCGTTTTCCGCTCAATGGAAATTTCACGCCAGCTCGCTGTCTTTGCTGGTACCTTGAGCGTTTCCAGCAATGCAGAGTTAAAAAAAAAAAAAAAAAGTATGATGGCATCCTTTGCCACACTCATTACTTCTACAACACCGAGCCACCTCGTATCCTTTTTTCTTTCATGGTACTAATTTCTCTCTGCGCATTACGGCTGTTACGACGCTAAGTCTGTCTGCACTTTCGCATTTGAACTTAGGCTCAGATCAGGGACGAACCAGTTTAAATTAGGAAAATATAATTAACACTGTAGCAAAGTAAATCTATCATATCGATCAGAAATACGATTTGGCACATTCCATCTGAACACATATTGTGCACAGCGAATGCAATAGCGAGTCAGCGTGCAAAACGCCACCACACTGCGCTACAATAACATCTAAGCGATTTTTGCATAGCACCGAGCACGGAAAAGAGAAAACAGTTATTCATTCACATAAACGAAGCAAATTTATTTAAAGCCCGGACACTCCGTACGTCCAATCTAACTAAGGTTATCAATAGAATCGACCATGTCATTTGTCGAAACAGATAAGAGACGTTGGCAAAAATGATTAGACTGAATAAGTGAATCTAATGCGCGTATTTTACCAACCGCAGTCGCGCGCCTTCAATACCATTTCCAATTGTCAGTGCGCACCTTGGACACACTTTGGAGAGCAATACATATTTACATCGCCGCCCGAGGTCTCCATTGAACGTGTAGTGCTGACCAAAATAAAATGCTAACCTGACTCTCAATCGCTCGTCGCAAAGGACGATTTCTAAGAGGCGGTACTGTAGGTCACTTGAGATAAAAAAAGAAACAAGCTATAGAAACGAGCATCGTAAAAAAGGGGACCAACATTTTTATTCCTACCTCCGAACAGAAACGAGCGCCACCCACTGCATCACACAGCGCAGAGGCCGGACTCGGCCACCGCGCGTAATATCACTGACGTCCGATGCAATGCACACTGAGCTGACTGACCACAGACATACCAAGCACGCGCGAGGGAGGGAGAAACTTCCTCCGCCGGGAGAACACGGCACATTTCAAGGATCTATTTCACGCAGCGGATAACGCGGGCCTTTTCACACTTCGATACTGGCGCCATCTAGAAGTCGCGCGTTCAACCACGTTACGAGCCGCGCGCCATCTGGTGGCTGAAACGGACGAATAAATAGAGGTAGCGCGCCCTCTTAAGCCTCGATGTCCTCTGAAGTGCAAGAAGCGAAAAACCTTATACTAGCCCACATCTGAACTTTTTTTTCAGGACCGGGAACTTGCCACACTAAGCCCAATCACACAAAGGGCACAGATGTACCGCGAAGGCCACTCCAAGACCTCTTTTGTTGCATGTTGAACCTTCAAAAAGGGCAATCACGAAGACGTCACACAATGTCAAACCTTGCAAACCCCCCTCTCTCTCTCTTTCCCCCCCCCCCTCCCCCACTCACCTGGAAAGGGCCAAAAAAGTTACCTTTTTCGGTTAAAGCTGCATTTTAGAAAACGGATTAGACATTCTTTTATCTGTTTAAACCGAAAACGCCGAACCTACAAACTGACCTTTTTCGGTTAAAACCGAATTTCCGAAAATGGATTCGGCATACTTTTATCGGTTTAAACCGCTTCGAACCCTAGTTATAACCGACTTCGTTATAACTGATCTCGACAGTATATGTAACACAATCTTTAGTATAAACTGAAAAACACTTCACAATGTGCACACAATACTATCATTTAACCTGATTACCATTTTGTAAGTACTGTGAGGAACCTTACGCATTTACAGGTATTTTATTGCTGTCAACATGTATGCAAGTGCTACGGGGTTAATAATCAATATGAGCAACGACTATGAAAAAACTTAGTTCTTTTAATGCAGGCAATCAGAAAGGCCCGAGTAAGCAAAGAACAGTACATACAGAACGCAGCCCCAACTAGCCCAAATATCGCTTTTTCCCAAATGACTCAAAGCACTGTCTTCAAGTCAAAAGCTTCAACAATAAATGTTGAGTTTTCCATGATGGTGTACTAAACACAGAAAGCAAACCTTGTGATGGGGTTTGACATCAAGCAGCAGTGGTGGAAGCATGCTGACTGTTTCTTGGCGTGTGATGTTGCCCTGACCAGAAAGAAAACATTGTCAATTATTTCATTAGATGCCACAGCATTGAAAAAACTCCAAATCACTGTACGGCTCAATTCTCATTCTCTCACTATACTCAAGCAAGCACAGCAAAACCATGAGGAGCAAATCGTTACTGGCACTAGATGAAACCATTTACTAGTTCACTCGTTTTGCTCTAGACAATTTTTGGAGTAGTGGCGACCGACCACAATCATGAGCCAATTATGAACGAACCTATCCTTGTTAATCCTCGGATTATTGAGCAATCCTTAACCACAACCAGTTACACCAGAAGCAAAGTGTACAGAGGGCTTCACTCACTGTTTCTGTCTCAGAGATCAGGAAGCTGTGCAGCCGGGAGTATGCCTCAGATTTTCTGATCATGACACGGGAAAGGTCCAACTGCCATGCCAGTTCGCCAGGATACCTTTGCATGAAAGATAGCGATAAAATAATTAAAGGTCTTTGACACTCCAAAATTAAATTTGTTTATAAGGTGTCAAATGACAGGGGAGAATGTCTTGATATTAATCAAAAGCGGACAAAGCAAATTGTATAAGCCAATATGTCGTTCCCAGCAAAGTGATGTCCTATCATTGCACTCCCACAAGATTTTGTTATTCCTTTCTGGGTTTCTTCCTTCTATTAGTTACTGCAGCAAACAATGTACCATTACATGAGGAGGTACCTACATGAGGAGGTACCTAAAGATAACCAGAATTATAACTTTGCATACTTTGTAGTTATGAATCACGCCGCAAGGTATTGGTAGCGTAGTTTTCTGCGTCAGTCAGCATCAAGTTCCAATCTTGAATACAAATACTTAAAATGTTTTCCAGTTACTTTGGGTACACCCTCATATCTTTGTACTAACTAAACACACAAAGCAAATGAGCAGCCTGTATGACCAACAACCTCATGGGAACTCTTCAACCTTTTGTCTTACCACGGCAGGTTGATTGGCTTTCCAGTTTTCTCTTCATCTCCTCCGACGTTCAAAAGGTTTGTAAAGTACTGGCTTTTAATCACACTCAGCAGGTGCTTCGATTCCCTGAAGAAAATGTGATGGTTTGATTAGTTCCCTGCAAATACTCAAAACCTGAACTACAAAAGGTTGGATGCCAAAATCTGCAACTAGCACGAAATTCAAACGTAAAATCAAACTAAAATGTACAATATGAGTGCACCAAACACATACAAACTAGGGTGAAAGGAGCTGAATAAACATTTATGTACATACTAAGGTATTCTAAGTAACTTACTTTTTGTTATATTAGCTCAAAATGACTCACCACCTGTTCTGACTGTTCTTAAACAAAGAGTACCAAAGGGGTGACGTCAAAAGTCAGGATATCCTGACCCCTGGGGGCCAAGATATCCTGAAACCCCTGAAAGGGGTCATGAAATGAAAATGTATTTGCCGGATCTTAACTTTCATATATTCATTACCACAAAGACACTGATCTTTAAGTATTACAGAATATTATGTCTGCACTTTATAAACCATATTTTAAATTGTGTTTTTTGGACTGTCTGAAACGACCATGCGACACCTTTGGGTAGCATGAGTAACAAAATGTCACGGTGGCTATGTAAAAAGGTTGAAGAGATATTAAACTTTATTAAATCGTGAAATAATAAATTGGGAGTGATAAAAACACTGAGTTATCTATCGGCATTCTTGTATTAGCTGTATGCTACTACATCACGATTGCGATACAGTTTCGGTTCCAAACACATCCGAGTCTTTTGTTGTAAGCATGCTGCTCGTCCTGCCGCGGCTTACATTTGATGTGGAACGCGGTTGTGGAACCTGGTTGTGGATTAGAATTATGATAAAACAAAGTTAAGCAATAAACATTATAATCCCAAAAGGATAACCTAAAACTTTGCAAAATCAGTAGCAAGCTTGTGACCTCTCAAATCAGCACATCCGTTTTGGGCCATTTATTTTTGCAGGTGTAGGCCTAGGAGATTGTAGTTTTCCCACAACTGGCTGTACAGTCGTGAGTTTTCTATTCATCTATCTTTACCACAGTCTCCCAGGAATAACTTGAGATGCCGCCCCTAAGTATGCAAATGCGACTAATATTGCTTATATTTCCAGCCTCCACGTCCTTCTTATGCGAGCGAATCAGCAATTTCCTGGTCGAAGCCAGACAGTATTTGCAGCTTGTCATTTGACGATCGCATTGGGACGCGGCTCAACTGATCGAAGCTGCAACTTACAATTCTCTGAGCATCATATTGGACGTCAGATGTCACCCATTGACTTGCGTGCGTGACGTGATTATGACGCCGCTGTTGAAGCAATATCTGACACTGGCTTTGTCCATCAAGTCCAGTCTACATCACCATCTTTCGCAGACAACGAAAATCTCCTATTGGTTACCTATGGTGACATATTAAAAAAACTGAGGAAGAAGTTCACCAAAAAACGGAAATTATCTTTTTCTATGCTAGTAAAGGTTTCTGGACAATCAAACGAATGAATGTGAAAGAATATAGTTCAGAATTTCAGAAAAATGTTTCACAACCCCTTTAATGCATTATGGTTTAGTAAAAGCACAAAATAAAGGTAGTACAGCAAAGTCACAAATGACCCTTTCCAAAAGTCAATCTATCTACCCTGTGCAGAGCCAAACCCGCCACTCTAATGGCAGCACTACACAGCTCCTCCACACCAGAAAAAGCAAACGTCTTCGAAAGCATAGAGCAGAAAAGGGAAACAATATTACGACACCGTCGATTCACAAAATCAAGGGTGCTTGATTTAGCCCAGCATCATCTCCTATCACCGCTATTAGAGCAGCAATATTGGAGCTTTTGGGACTGCCACAAGGTGACTCTGACTTTTGAAAACGGTCTATAGTGCTCTTTTTATGGCAACAACTCTATGATGTGCTCTAAGCATCCTAAAAAAACAAAAAAAAAACATGAGCAGCCTATTTCCTTACTAAAAATGCGACACGACCCTTTTTGTAAACTCGCAAAAAAGGGGGTATCTTGTATGTGCCTTTTCTTGGCGTCTTCCTTCTTGGGTGGTGTTGAATTCCCATCATTTTTAATGTATGCCAAGTGCCCCCATTCTCGACCTTGTTACAGCTTATATCTCTTCGACTTGAAATGCTATCACCAAAACTACTGATGTGGTGTAAAGTGGTCACTTGGAGCACAAACCTAAGCGGTAAAATTTAGTGCTCACCAATACCCTGGTTTGGGAAAAGTGCAAAAAAGCACCAACCTTGTCGCATTCACACAAGTGTCTGTTGCAGGTTAAGAAAATCGAGACCAGTTCCTCCCCCAAAGCCCTTCACTCTTTCCTCTTAAGCAGAGAGAATGCTGGAGAGGAGGCAAGTTGACTCCATCCTTTTCCACCTCCTTTCAGCGGTCGCTCCGCTAAAGTGAAGAGTGGAGGGCTCTGTGGAAGAAGCTTGTTCTGCTTTTGTTAACCTGCAACAGGCTAGAACTATGGTTGTGCAGTATACATAAGGTTGTTCAGGTAGGCATGCATTCCAGCTTATGGCTCACCTTGTTTCAAATATATTATTGATATTCATGTGTGTTAGTAGCATTTGCACTCACGCTGAATAGAGCAGAGTTTTTAAATATTCTTTAAAAAATGCCGACACTGCCCCACCAGACTTGTATGCACGACTAACTTCTCACAAATAGTAGATGATTCCCCAAAATTAGGTCGTTATGAAGATTAAGTTCTTTACAGTATGCAGCTTGGTCTATACTTGTTTTCACCTCAAGAACCCTAGTAAAAAAAAGTCTGGCTTCTTGCGGAAGATTACTAATTTTCCCGTTTATGTAGAGAATTAAGATATATATAGGTGAATTGTAGATTGGATATATGTTTGCTTTTCAAGATGTGCATGTTCCAAACGCCAAAACCCTAGCTTTTTTCCTCCGATAACCAAATCTCGTGAGAACTACTTCGCGCCTTTTTCTTAAGGTGATAACGGGTATAGACACCAGCATTCTTTGGTGCTTTCAATTTTCCTTTAAACTTGTATGCACTAATGACACTGAATTAAAATAACCACATGTTTTAGAGCACAGAAACGTGTTAACAACCAAAATATCCGGCTGATACACTAATGCTGTCCTCCCTAAATTGTTCCACAGAAACTGTTTACAGAAAGTAGAAGACTGGCTTTAAAAAAAATTAATATGGCATAATTTGAAGGGTTACAAATACAGAGCAGCAAAATAATAGCGAGTCAAGATCCCCCCCCTGTCGTCATGTATAGATATGTATACGAATATGTTTTACTTACGGAAGAAACCCAGTGATTCGAAATGCCGCAGGCAATCCCCGACGAAGCGCCTTTATGAAATCATCCCATTCTTCTTCGGGAACTATGTTCTGAGCCTAGAAATGGTAAACACACACATAGAAATCCTTCCAATGAATGATAAGGAAGCGTCGCTCCGCTTAAAGGGGCCCTGCAGTCATATTTAAGCGTCTACCTTTTTGCGGTTTCCACGTCCCTCGGGATTCGGGCAAGCCAGCAGGCACGGAGAGAGTAACTAAATATCAGTGTGTCATATTTTAACCGGACGACGTGGAAACCTCCTCCACCTACGGGGGCGACCCGCAGTGCCGAAAGAGCGCGATATGTGACGTCTTAGGTCCCGGGCTTACTACTGGTCAGAGTCGCTAGAAGCTTATCTTTTGTCGAAATACAAAATATAAGTGGCGCGAACCGTTTCAATTATTTATAAAAGTAGTTTTTGTTCACTACTTTAGATCAGAAAAAAAACAAATGCAGTTTAGAAAATACGGAAACAAGAAATGACCCGTCGACATACCCGCCACCAAGCGGTGGAAAAGGCGGCGCATTCTAGAAAGTGCTGGTGGGATCAGGCACCGACGAACAGCGAGCTTAGAAAGGTCCTGGATGTACGCAGCAGCGCTGCGGTCGTACGGACTGGAGGATCCAACCGGTTCCGAGCGTTCCCAAGGCCTTCGGCGAGCAGCTTTGGCTTGCAGTTTGGCCTTTTTGCGGTATGGCAGCGCGAAGTGGCTCCCGTTCTGAACTGATCTTTACCCTGTGTTTGCTGTCGTTTGTGGCCAATGAAGTGTCATGCCGGATTAGTGTTTAAACTCGCAGCAAATGCAATGCGAGCCGCCCTGGCTGCCCGCTTCATACAGCCTAGCCAGAACATGCTTTAGTGGTGCCTTCTCCAGCCGTTGGCACGGAGTGCGGCAGCCGTGATTGCTCGCTAAGCTCACTACCCCTCCTCTAGTTCACGGCCACTCAAGCAACCAAGGACGTCCTGAAGGAGGTTATTTTTTGCTTGTTTTTGTCATTTTAATTTGCCTATAGACCGACACGCTGTTTCCAAACAACCTCGCGTTTGCTCACACCAGGTGTGGGCACTGTGCGAGTGCAGAAACCAGATTCGCGTCAGGTGAAGCTTCTGTGCAGGCGCCACAGCGACAACAGTGCCACCGCAGAGGCGTGACGTAGGAGCCGCGTGTTGGTCTATAAATATTGAAATACAGCGAAATTGAAGAAAAGTTCCATTAAGTTAATACGTTCAGTGCACTCATGTTCGGTGCAAATTAAAAACCAGTAAAAAAGTCCTTGCAGGGCCCCTTTAAAGGCCGATGTACAACCTCGGTTTTCTGCAGGGGAGACGATCCTCTTAGCACTCCCATCTCCTAAACTGCAAAAGGGGGAGGGGGGGGGGGGGAGCCAAGTTGGGGCAAGCTAAAAAGTGGAGAGGATATAGGAAAGGAGGAGGTGCGCAAGAGTGTAAAGCGTGAAGTGTACAATTGGGGGACAAAAGTCCCCAGGACGCGTGAGCTGCGACTGAAACGCATCGCTCTGCCATCTGCCGGCGGGTCGCCTGGTTTCGAGATTACACAAAAGCGCATGCGTGTCCTACTGTGCCTTTAAGCATGTGTGTTTTCCCGCTTTTCTGTGTCGCGGCGCCAAACTCGAAATTGGGCGCGCGGTACCGCCTCGGAGATAGCGCTTACTGACATGGCACCTATGAAGCAAGGAGTCACGGCTGCTCAATTGAGCGATAAGCTCAGCTGGTTATAAAGCAAAATGCGCTGACATGGCGAAATGCGGCACAATGCCGCAGGCAGTATTTCCAGTTTCGGAATGTGTAGCAGACGCTCGTCAGCCGTAAGCACTACCTCCGAGGCGGTACCACGCGCCCGATTCCGAGTTAGGCGCTGCGACGTGATCGTGATCGTAAAAATTTTCACGACTCTTGCAAACATTTTCACGACTCCGACAGACCGTAAAAATAGAAGCGTCCGCTTCAATTTTCACGATTTACCGGAGTCGTGAGTTTTGTAGTGTCCTGTTTGGACACCTCTTTAGGCGCCGCGCCACAGAAAATCGGAAAAACACACATGCTTGCAGGCTAAGTAGGATGCGCATGCACTTTTGTGTGATCTCAAAACCAGGCGATCCGCCGGCAGATGGCAGAGCAATGCGTTTCGGTCGCAGCTCGCGCGTCCTGGGGACTTTTGTCCCCGACTGTACATCGGCCTTTAGCTAGGGTAGGATCAGTATTCTATTTTGAGAAACCAGACATTATAGACATGACCAGGACCTACCTTATAGTAGGCTTCAAATGCCTCATTGCTCTTGACAATGTCAGTGTACAGGGGAACATCACCATTTTCGTTAACCTGCAATAGATAATTCAAAATTATACCATACTCTAGCCATTTTCATAACCATATTAACCACAGAACACACATTTTGAAGAGCCAAAGTAACCATTCTCATTTCATAGCCAAATAAAAAACAGTTTTTTTTTCTTTCTTTTTTTACGTAAGGTACTGTACATACTGTAAAGTAAAATAATCAAGAATGATTTCAGCGGTGTTGTTTCAGGTTGGATGGAAGTTCTTGAAACGTGCAATTTTAAATTAACTATGGGCATACGATATAAGTTGGGATATAACTTGGTGTTACAATACGACATAACAAAAGAAAATAGTTTAAAAATAGTAAAACAAGCAAGCTCTTTACATCGTGATCTTGACAAAACTATAAACTGGACGATGTACACCGCAGTTCAACCTCAAGAGCGTTTCTACAGAACACTACCTTGACAGAGTGACCGCACACATAGTCTGCTCTACTGTTTAATTTTGCTCCCCGTCAGTTTTCACCGACAGCCAGAAGTGTCAAACTCGTACGCTGATCACGGCCGGATTCCACGTTGTTTCAAAACACATGATGGGATGCGTAAATTCATCACGAAGGTACCTTTCTCGGATTGTCAGCTCTGGGAGCCTGTCCTTGTCCTTTCCTGTGTCGTTTTCTTCCCATTCTGCCTGATCACATCTACAGGAAGCACAAGAAACACACCAAACTTATTTAAGCAGTGCCACGTGCAGTACGCACAAATCGCTCAGACCCAGTCGGATCCAACAGCTCCAGGGCTCCAGTTTACAAATAAAAAAGCAAAAAAATGCAGTTGTTTGAGTGCTATTTAGGTGGCGCTAGCGACGCATTCATTTGCTCAAAATGCATTTGAGAAATTCTTGAACATCAATTTTAAAACGTATGCAATTAAGTTTCAAAGAATTATTTTTTAATAAGTCGCCTAATTAGGTTGCCTGTAGCCACTGCCGGCTCCCGGGAGTTTTTGTACGTGCGTCGCTGGCGTCACTACAACGGCGACAACGGTGTGTGTGTGTAGCAACGTTGGTGTGTAGCATGTGTAGTTCGTTTTGTTTTTTTGTGGTGGTGGTTATGATGGTGGCCGTGTTGTTCTCGTAAATATTGCGCAGTTAACGGCTAAATTATTCCCACATTCTCACCAAAAAATATTACGAACATGTCAGAAAAGCCGTCATGTTCGTCGTCGGCGAGCAAACGATCGGAGCAACTGGAACGCTTGAGAAACCTTCACATGCGTCGGGTATGTTGTCTCCCAGCTTGTGGAGTTCTAAACTTACGTGATCTTGTCGTTGTTTACAGAACGAGGCGAGAACTCTAAATTACCAAGAGGTGGTCGAAGAGGACAGAAAAACGAAGCTGCCGGCGAATTGGGAGAACAAACAGAAATGGGCGCAATACAAGTTGGACGAGGAGAAAAATTACGAGGTAAGTAGGAGTGCTAGTTCGGCCCAGTGGCGATGCCTGCGTATCATTAGGGACTTAGTGGTGTCCAGCTCAGACTGGAATGTGTTACATAATAAAACTAGTATCCGGGCATGCGGATTGACGTCGGAGCAAAGCATGCAGTTTGTGGGTATGCATACTTAATATGCACTGACGGGTTCTAGAGCTGCCATCGTTTGTATTTATTGAGATGTCTGTTTTCAGGATGCTTCAAAGCGAGGGGAAGACTACGCGCGTCTTAAGCTGCTGAACGTGAGTGCGGATGAGGCGGAACGGCTCGATCGGAAAAAGAAGCGCAAGAACCCAGACTTCGGATTTTCAGGTAGCGTTTTCTCTTTGACCGCAGTTCGCACGGGTCTTTGGAAACCTTAAATTATTCAAAATCTACGGGCACATCGTTTGACTTATTTGTTTTATATATTTATGTCTGTTCAACTTCACTGTGTGTCTATGTGGTCTTGTATGCGTCATGACAGAAGCAAGTTTTTACCATTTTTACAGATTACGAAGCAGCCACTGTGAGGCAGTACACACGTCTCGTCAAGCAGATAAAGCCAGACATGGAGGTCTATGAAAGAAAGAAGGAAGAGCTGTAAGTAACCTTTGCTAATGATTTAACCAGCATTTCTATAGGTCCTTTGACCAGTGTGGACACCTTGTTGAAATATCAACATATATTTTTTTTTAGTGTCGTGTTACGTCTGACGGAACCCAAAATAAAAATTAAAGTAACTTTACACCAAGGTTTAAGTTACGTCCGAGGTAACCCAATCTGAAAATTAAAGTTACTTACATCCACGTAACTGTACCCCAAGGTTTCGAGTTACGTCCGACCAACTCGAAATGAAAATGAAAGTTACATCCGACGGAAATAAAAATTAAAGTTACGTCCTCTGTAAACTATGCAACGTTGTTGAATGTTACGCTTTACGGCTGATACATGACGTAAACACAAACATATTGTGAATTATTACTACATTACGTCTGATGCAGCATTCGTTAATTGGTTAAAATCGCAACCCCATCTGTTAAGACTTTTTTTTTTCCCCCTTTAAGACGATTTTTTGCGACACTTTTTGAGCACTCGCGGACATTGGAAGCAATTATTAAGAGAAATAGAATGGTAATGTGGTACGAATGTGTGCTGTTTAGAGCAACAGGGTTTCCGGCAAACTTGTTGAAAAGTGGCACAATCACATACCGCTCAAGTTGCCACGCGCGCTAGCTTTGGCAGTGTTTTCTTCCAGACTGTCTTAAATGAAGAGCTTGTTTTGAGTGTGCCGACCGAGTGTGACAATAACAATAGACCCTTGGCCCTTAGCCATATCAACTTTGCTCTCGGCAAGGGCTACAAGCAGGTGTAACTAATGCGGCAAGAATAACAAAAATTGTTTTCATATCGAAAAAAAAAAAAAAATTTAATAAATTGTTTTAAAGGAAGGGAAATAAGAAAGAGAAAAAAAAATGTATGTGACAGGCCTCGAACCCACCCAGCTTCAACAGCCTCAATGTGCGAGGAACACAGTCCAGCCCCCTCAATAAAGCTGGAGTTACAGATAGAGATGAGATTTAAACCAATTCACAAATGCTGCATCGGACGTAACGCAGTAATAATTCACAATATATTTGTCTTTACAAAATGTATTATCCGTAAAGTGAAACATAGGTTGTGTAGGTTACACAGGACGTAACTTCTTTTATTTCGGGTTCCGACGGACGTAACTTTACTCTTTATTTCGAGTTTGGTTGGACGTAACTTTAATTTTTATTTCGAGTTCCGTGGGATGTAACTTTAATTTTTATATTAGGTTACGTTGGACGTAACTCGAAACCTTGGGGCAAATTTACGTGGGACGTAACATTGATTTTTATTTCGGGTTCTGCCGGACCTATTGCCAGACACTGCATATATTTTTTTCCTGGTGGGAACAGCACACACTGAAACTCGTCAGCCACTGCAATAGGCCATTTGCAAAAGGCTTCACAGGGTGACGGAAGACATAAAAAAAAATTTTAAAATTGTGCTGTATAGTTTTAGCCCTCCTGGCACTAAGACAGTGTGACATGCAACCAGTAGCGTCACAAGTGGGGAGGGCAGGGGGGGGGGGGGGGGGGGGGGGGGGCAGATCGCCCCGGGTGCAGCGCTCGGGGGGGTGTCGCAGCGAGCCACGAGAACGGGGTGGGGTGGGGAAGGGAAGGGGATGTCGCGGAGGGCTATTGCCCCAGGTGCCACTAACCCTAGTAACGCCACTGCATGCGAGAGATATGGAAAGAAATTGCTCAGCTCTGTCCGAGTGCACATGCCATTTCTCACAATATATTTCAGTGGCCGTGGAGGGTTCTGCACATTTTACAAACGGTCTAGTTTCCTTCCCTGTCCATACGGTGATTGAGAGACATAAATGTACAGTTGCTGCTTTTCAGTTCCACTGTGACCATTCTCACTCATCATACATTTCAATACTCGGCATGCACTTTCACAACATTGCAAAAACCAGAGACCAAGAAAATACAGTAAGGGGGTAAAATACACGAGACTTACATAAAACCCGTGTGCTTGCTTCTTTTGGGGGGCTCGCTCGCTCTCAGATTTTAGCTACGAGAAAAATTTGCCATCTTGCCTGTGCCTTCACTTTTTTATTTTAAGCATTTGCTATTTTATATTGGTAGAGTGAATCAAGCATGCCTGCAGAGTGTACAGTTTTAGGCGGTATATACCAAACATTTTTATTTTAGGTTGCATGTTTCATTGTGTTCCTCTTTTGCTAGCTTTCATTGGGTAGGTAGCCTATTGCTCACCAGCATGCTAGGTACTTTGAAAAGCAATTGTGTTAATTGCTGGTACATTTTAACCCCTTAACCAGTTTTAATTTTTGGGAATTTCTGACCCTTAACTGCTTAAAGGCCGACTTACAACCTCGGTTTTCTGCAGGGAAGATAACCCCCTTAGCACTCCCCTCTCCTAAGCCGTGAGGGGAGCCTTTAGGCAAGATAAAAAGTGGAGAGGATATAGGAAAGGAGGAGGCGGGCAAAAGTGGGAAGCGCAAAGTGTACGTCGGCCTTTAAAGGAACACTGACACCCCCCAAAACTTGTTTTTATTTTTTGCCAGGCGATCTATAATGGTGTCAGAAGACTACCCAATCGATATTTTGCTACAGCGTCACATATATTTTTAGTAAAGTAAGAAAACGCAACTGCTCAAAACCGAAACTGGAGCGGGGAGGAAGAAGAAATATAGAGGAGGATCGAGTTGGCGGAAGTCACGTGGCTGTATAGGTTTTTTTTCTCCCAATCAACGTATTTGTAGCTTTTTAGAAGCCACAAAAAATGGGTATCATATTCCTTTCTATTTTTAATATTGTGTGTGTGCCTTCGAGGACCCACGACTTTGATTATATTTGGTCGTTGTGTCTAAACCATAGAAAACAACACGTGACCACAGAGAAGAGAGTGAGCGCGACTCAAACTGGCCAGTTCTCGATCGGTGGTTTTTGGGCTGAAAATAAAAACAAATTTTGAGCCGCGAATGGTTTTCTGGGTAGTTGGGCTCTCACGTGTCATGTACAAGTAAAAACCTTGGCGAGCATAAATACCCTGTCAGTGCCCCTTTAATTGTCTTCAAAGTTGCATTTGCTGCCTTCAAAATCAGGTTTCTAGCAACAAACAAATAAAAAGAAAAATTAAAAAAAAAAAAAAAAAAAAAAACTTAGTGCTGTCATTTGTTGGCAGAGCCTCAAACGAAGCCATGAGTGAGCCGGGTCCATCAAGAACGGTTGAGTGCATAAACCAGGGAAAGCAGACGAGCTATACTCGTCCTGAACTTGTTGGGGACGGCTCCACGTTGACGAGCTGGGCTCGTCCAAACCGTTTAGGGGTTAACTAGGTTGCCCATGTAATACAAGGTATCAAGACTTTACAGTGGATACCTTGACTCGACATCTGAAGTCACCATCTGGAAGGGATGAAATTTGTCTTCTGTTTGTTTGTTGTCAACATTGGAATGTTTACTCGCTTGTGTGTGTGGGAGGCACAAAAGGTTTAAAGGTTGTTTAAAGGGATACTACAACGAAATTTCGGCGCTTATTTTTTTGTCTATATGTGTTCAAAGGAGCAGTGTCACATCGGACACACCAATATCTTGTTAAAAAACAACACGAAAAGAAATTTTAAAACAAATTAAACGATCAGCAAAGAGCACCTGGTGGATGTCGCTAACGCCTTGTTTGTAATGCCCATCTAGGAACCTTGGCAGGTAGTGACGGTAATTGTCTCCTTTCCGGCCCATACAAGAGAAGAGGGGAAGGAGGAACTCCCCTTTTTCCGAGAACCTTTTTTGTGAGTCCCAGAAGTCGCTATTGTCCCTCTACAAGATTATAGAAGATTAACCCGTCACTCAAAATTCGTACAAAAGCAGCCGCTTCGGTGGCTGGAACAACTTGGACATCCTCTCGACATCAGCCTCGCTGCAGCTTTGCTCGTCCCGAGATGAACTATGTCACGATTGCAGCAGACACCACATACTCCCCGCTGGCTGCTTTCCGAGCGCTTGCCAGAGTGGGCCGTTTATAACGAAAAATACAGCCATCAGGCTGAAAATACAAACGTGCGGTTGTCATTTACGGATATTGTGGATCATATTCAACCTCTTTTGGAACACTACGGATAGAATTCAAATTTCGTTGAAGTATCCCTTTAAAGGGAAGCTACGGAGCTTCTTGGAAAAAATGAGTTAGAAGTGAATTCTAGTGTATTTTTACCCCGTGAACCCGAATACCCAAACCATTTCCTGCGCAAGTATTGTTAAACGCGAAAGACAGTCGCTGTCCGTGACGTCATCGACGGCTCTTTTGGCTGCCCAGGGCTAGGGAGGCGGGGCTTCAGTCCTATTTTGAAATTGCTCATATGGCTCTCTGGCGCGTCGCATTGAAATACGATTTTGATATCTGTTAATCTAAAGGCCAAATAAACGCAATTCAAGCGTTTTTTCTCAAATGTAGAAGTGCCCCATCTTCCCTTTAAAGTGGAGCGGACATGTTTTCGAGCTGTGGTCGACTTGCGAAGCTAAGTACTTTTAGTTTCAGCGGCAGGATTAGGGATTTAGGTTAGCATGGTCGGCCGGGCGGGCCATGGGAACGTAGAGTAGGGTTGGTCTTTGTGTAATTTCTTGGCGGGCTTTTTTTTTTTTTTGTGATAGACGCACGGGTATTTGAGTACCTGGGCAGTGAGTCGCCTGTCGGAGAGTACCTGGGCAATGTGGCTAATTAACTGCGGAAATTAATCTGTGTTACCTATGAAAACAAGACCAGAAAACCATATTTTCTTGTGAGCAGTAGTTTTTATTTTAAAAAATTAAACAAAATGAAGGTCAAAGTGCCTTTCAACTCTCCACGTCGTCTTTCGAGTGACATACTCTGGCGGGTCACGTGGTTTCCCCTTGAGTTCTCTCTTCAGAAACCCCAGCCGCTTCCTCTTTGATTGTTGACTTTTAAAAGATTAGCATCGTCAAAGGTCGCGGCCAGCGAGGGGGACAGGTTTTGTTGACTTCTGTGTATCCCCAGAGACGCTGTCATTGTAGTTCCCATAGCCGCCGCACGCAGCTACGGATCAGCAAATAATTTTTTTTTCTTTTTTCGTAGCGATTACACAGCGGAATAGCAGTTTTTCGGGGCAAGGTGACGCGTTTTCGGTCAGTTGTGCTTGGATAAACAATATAAAAAATACAAACTGCCAATTCTTTCAACATTAAAATCGTTGTACTACCCCCTTTAAGGAGGAGCGGGAGAAGTGGGTCCTGCTCGAGACGCAGGTCGTGGAGTTGACGAAGAGGGGGGAGCCTACTAAGGACTGTGAAGGCAAGCCAGAGCAAATGCAGGCTGAGCTTAATGAGGAATGGGAGACGCGGGCCAAACTTGAGAAACAAGTAGAGGAGCTGAGGTAAGTGTTCAGGTAGAAGGCTCAGTAAGTGCTCGCGGAACCCCCAGGGCTAGAAGAGAGAAAAATGGAGTGTGAGGATAGAGTGGAGCGTCTCATTGGTGTAGTTGAGGAAGAGCGAGGAAGGACAAACAATAATGGCAGAATTGCTGGGTATTCTCAGAGTAGAAGTCGAGAAGAGAGTCGACCTAGAATTACAGTGGGAAGAGATGAAGAGGGAGTTGACAATGAGGGTAGTGCCAGAGGTGCAATGGGCTAGAGAGCAGGGAGAGAGCAGTTCTGACTCGAAGGAGGTTTCTAGGACCTATAGTGAAACAGCGCAAAAGGAGAAGGAAACAGCTGGATTGATAGAGCCTAACCTGGTACCAGTGGTAAGTGGAGGAGGTAGCAGCGTAGTGCCAGGAGGGGGAGGGCACCCGGCGGCAGTTAGGAGAGTCCTAGTAGCGGGAGACTCCAACGTGGCAAGGATTGAAGAGGGAGTGCTAGGCAAGGTGAAAGAGGACAAAAGGATGCGAGTAAATGCCCAGCCAGGATAGTGCATGGTAGACACCATTGCCAAAGAGGAGGAGGTATTGTGGGGCAACATGGAGGGGGAAAACCTAGTGTTGATCCACGCAGGACCCAACAACGTGTTGAACGGGAGCAGCCAGAAGCTGGGAAAACAGGTACAAGCAGGACTGGGTAAACTAAAAGTGGTCAGTGAGAGGGTACATGTGGAAATATGCACTATCCCACGTGTCCAAGGATAGTCTCTTGACATGAGAGGCGGGTCATTGAGGCTAACCGAGTGATTAAGGTGATGAGCCAACGACTTGAGTATGGCGTAAAAGAGATAAACTGGGAGGTTTATGTGGCTAGCTCCTGCCCTTTTACAAAGGATGGAATTCTTGCACAGGTAGGAGATTTGGAGAGAGGCCGCGTCAGCATGTTGCAGCTTTTTTGGGGACCCACAGAGCCCGAAGGACACCGGCATAGATGTACCAGTGCCATATGTGCCAGTACTAGAGTCGGACGAAGCTTCTGAGTGTGAGTTCCGCAAAAGCAGCATTGAGAGCAGGAGGAAGCCCCGTAGAAATAAGAGAAAGAATCAGCCCAATCTAGGCTTCTTAAACATGCAGGGAGGTAGAAACAAAACAAAAAGTTGGAGGAAATTGGTGAACAATTAGAGGCTGGGAATTTCACAGTGTATGGGGTAGCAGAAACTCACCTTAGAGATGAAGAGGAACCACTGTACATACCAGGCTACTCCTGGATGGGATGGAACCGTAGAGGAGGTGAACACAAAGGCAGAGGTATAGGCTTGTTAGTTAAAGGACAAGACTGGGAAAGAGAAGAAAAGCTGCAGAGAACACTTATAGCTGAAAGGTAGGGAAACAAGTCTGAACACTCTTCTGGGGTTTGCTTACCTGAAAACAGGAAGTGACTCAAGGGAGGAAAATACAAAACACTTAAAGGGGCACTGACACCCCAAAGGTTGTATTTTTTTTTATTGTCTAAAACGATGCAAGTTGCAGTCATAGACACGCAAAAAAAAACGCATCGCGAAAAGAAACTTTCCCGCGCGCGCACGCGCCTTTTTATTTTTGGCGTTTGATTCTCCCGCCTCTTGCCTCCTCGCTTCTTTTGATTCGTGACGTCAAGAATCATGAAATTTAGAAGCTTTGTAGGCGACATCTCTATAACAATAAATAACGACAATCCTAAAACATGTTTTTTAACGCAATTGCGAACGCGCTACGGCCCTTCTTTTTGAAATACCGAAAATCAGGAGTTCCTTGTGGTGCCGTCTCCTGGATTTGTATCCTCCCGCGGAAAACAGGCGACACCGCTCAAAACCGGTCCGCCGGCGCTGGCTCCTTTCCTCCTCACTTTGGGTCGCCATGGCAACAGCAGGGAGTCGTGAAAGAAAGTGGACTCTCAGGACTCCACAATATTTAACGTCAACGCACCGGCACGGATCGCGCGGGAACTTCGAATTTGGCATTTGGAAATTGTTTTTTTACTTCACAAATACTGAATTCCGCAATTTCAAATTTTGAGGGTAACGTCCCGGCATTGTTTTCAATCGTTTCGGATAATAAAAAGAAATATGATTTTGATGTGTCAGTGCCCCTTTTAGGACATCAGAGAGGTCCTAAAGCTTGAACGGGAAAGAAGGCAGCACCTGCAGTGCCCCCTGCAATCATAGAATATCCCTATTTTAGTTATAATTAGCTGCGATATCCTCTTAAGGAAAGGGTATGCTTGCAAATGGTTTTGGAACAGCACATGGAGATGCTATTTCGTTGTGATAATTTTGTATTTAGAGAAACACCTCAGCGCTTATAGCCCCAAGTTTGACCTGCGTGACCAGCTTCAAAATTTGCTTATAGTGCTACAAAACTCGACGTTTGTGGTTCCTGAGCTGCTCCAAAGGAGCATGTTTGCTGCTCCCAAACCTGCTACAAAAGGCTGAAGCTTGCTTCCACTCCTGCAGCTATGAAATATCATGAGTTAGCTTCATATCTGTTATTTGTTACAGAAGTATCAACAGGATTAGTAGAAAACACAAAATTAACTTTTTGTTTCTTTTTTGTTTTCAGGTAGGTGTGCAGAGAAATATGGCATATTAGCATTCTCAGCTAATCTCTTATCTCACCTGCTTCCACAATTTCATGTTTTGGCTGCCAGTTATTACAAATTTCTGGTGAGGTCACAATTAAATGGGTGTATCTACTCTCACTTGCTCATCCTTTGACATAGAGCTGTGATAGCGAGCACAGAGCCGTGAAAATGGACATGCACAGTCGCCGATCCACGTCTGCATGAATAATCCACAGCGCTTAGTTGCAAAAACATGAAGCTCGAAAAGCAGGTCAGAAAAGGTTTAGCTCAAGTTGGCAATACTTAGTGTAGTGCATTTTATAATGCAACTTGTATTTGTAGGGGCGAGGCATTGTATCCAACAAGAGATACAATAATTCATGGTCTGCACAAGGATTCAAAGGAAGATGTTGATCGCATGGTTCAAGATCTCGAGAAGCAGTAAGCCACACTTTTATGTCCTTTTTTTTTTATGTCTCAAAACACTTTGCATAATTTATGATGCCGGGAGGTACAGAATATTAGTTGGCTTATTTATGGTCAGTGTATGATAGCTCACGAGCAATGTTTGCATTTATACGAATCGATAGTAGATTAGACATGTGCGTGAAAGCCCGTTTACACACTTGTGTTTGACTACGACCGACTAAGGCAAGGCCGTTTTTCAAGCCCTTAGCGACGGCTTACGACCAGCTGCATTGCTGCGCAGCTCGTTGTAAGCCACAAGAGGCTTAAAAACGGATTGTGTCTGAGTCGGGCCTTGAGGCTGTTACAGCTAGGCCATTTTAAATTTGGTGCCTTATGGTTGGGGTGTCTGATTTTGTCTGTCTATTCTATAAGAGGTCTGGTGTAACAAATTACCATCTCATCTCTCAGTGTCTGTTTCACATGTAGGCACAATTCTGCCTCATAAAATCGGGGGCAAACGAGCGCGAATTTGTGTTGCTGTCCAGGGAAATAGAGCTAGGGAAAAATAGGAACTGTGTGTCCCCCATTTTATTGCTTGATCCTTTCTGACTGTATATACTGGAGAAGCCAGCTTTATTATGATCAATGTCTACAATAAGAATGAACTCTTTATCGCAAGTAAAATGTTCTTTGTATATTTTTTCTCGTCGATTGGACAAAATACTGTGATGTAGCCTGCATTTTTTTTTCAATATGCTAAAATCCCTCCTAATTCAAGTGAGACTGAAAAATGTTAATTTTTTTGGTTGCAGTCACTTGGTTCTCGTTGGTAAGATACATAGTCTTGGTGTTAACGAAGTTTAAAACATGTCATGTTCAGGTCTCTTCTTTTTACTGTCGGGCACACTCGGCCGATTTGCAGCTGTTAAAGGGGCCCTGCAAGGACTTTTTTTACTGGTTTTTAATTTGCGCCAAACATGAGCGCACTGAACGTAGGCGCACTGAACGTAGGCATACATTCTCGAGCCTCTTTCCCCTCAACTTTTATCCCTTCCTGCGTGGTGAGTGAGTGCTGGCACGACTCCGTTTTTTTTCCCTGCACCTTAATGTGTTCCCAAAACCTTTTTGCTGCATTTCTATCGTTCTAATTTATCCCATCATCCACTGAACCCCTGCGCTGCCAATTTTCGTCTGTATTTGAGCTGATGCCTCCCTTTTCCTATTCAGAAAATTTTCCCATTTTGCTGCTATTTCGTCTGGGGTTGCTCCCTTTTTTTTTTGCCCGCCTATGTTCTCGAGATGCCTCTTGACATCGTGATATGACTGCCTTAACCTCTTTATCCCACCAGATTTTAGGTTTGTGCTTTTTCCTCTCTTTTTTCCTCTCTTTCCTCTTCGCTTACCTCGGTACTTTTCCAACTCAGTCTTTAAAATGACCACTAAATCCTCATATGTCCACTCTCTCTCTGGTTGGTTGGATACTATGTTCTCAATATTTTTGGATACTTCTTGTAACTGATCCTCATTTAGATTCGATTTACCTTCCCGTTCCTCAAATTCTAGCTCTGTTACTGATGCACCAAATTTGATTTTGATTCATCTGTGGTCACTCCCTAAGCTTTTTATACCTTCTTCGTCTATTTCCATACTCCCTAGCCTATTATACAGCTTTGGGGTCATGGGGCAGTTGTTGAAGAAGAGGCGTTTCTCTCCCACGTGATTTTTCCATCGCATTTTACTTGAGTACTAGATTTAGAGCATCACAGAACTCTTGCAACATTCTCCCTGTTGTGTCTGTGTACCCATCAAAATCTTCTAAATGGGCATTCATATCTCCCATGATAATTATTTCCCCATTTAAACCAATACCTCTGACATCCCTCGCTATGCATGACAAGTGCTGTGCAATTTCTTCTTTTGAATCCCTTCCCGTTTTCAAGTAGACAAATCCCAGTAGTGTGTTCAACCTTTAATCTGTCCTTTCAACCATAGGTGTTCCCTGCATCCCTCATTCACCCTCTCCCGGTCTTGCCCTTTGATCAATACTCCTATCCCTCCTCCCTTTCGTTCTCCGCTACTCCTGTTGCATCCCAACCAGAAATAATCCGCTATGTATGGTGGCTCCTCCATATCCCTAAGGTGGGTCTCCGCCAATCCATACACCTGAAAGTTTTCCGCCACCAGCCGCTTCTCGATTTCCCATTTTAGTCTCTTTCTACCTCCCTGCATGTTTATAAAGCGAAGATTAAGCTGTTTCTTTCTCTTTCTTCTATCCCTGCGAGGCTTCCTCCCGCCCTCCCTGTCCCCACCCCCAGCTCTAAATGTGGATCCCTCTTTTCCCCGGACTTCGCAGGCTCCCAAAAAAGGCCTTGCCCTGCAGCCCATTTTTCATCCCACCTGTCTTCCTGTGAGCTCGTTACAATGGATCCCATCCCTTTGGAAAGTGGGGACCAGACTCCTTTGGCAAACTTCCCTGTTGATGTCCATAACCTTGTAGCCGTGCTGGAATCTTAGTGCCTCAATCACATTATTGGCTTCCCTGACCTCCCTTTCTTTCTGTTCAGTCTGCCCCCTGATCTCCGGGATGGTGCACCGCACAATGTGCACATTCTCTTACACGTTTCTGAGTTGTCGGACTTCCTCCCTAATGTGTGCGCCCAGATCCCCTCCTCCCTGTTCAGTACATCATTTAGCCCCGCGTGCACCATGACTAGGCTCTGTGCCACCTTATTTTCCTGCAGTATGGCCGCTGCACTTTCCATTACTTCCCTTGTTCTTCTACGATCACCTGCCCCCTGCTCCAGCCGCCTTTCCCTTCAATGCCGGTCGAGTGTTCCTGGAGCCTCACCGCCTCCTGTGTTTGGTCGCTGTAGAGCCGCACTGTATGAGAGTCCATCTACCCTGGCTGCCTGTTCACTCTTGTCCTCTGTCTCTCTCTCTCTCTTCTCTGCGGTTCGTCTTCAGCTCCCTCCCGCACCCACTGAGCCTTCATCTCCCTCAGTTCCCACTCCACCTCCTCTATTTCCCTACTCAGTTTCGCCTGCAGTTCCTTTATGTCCTCCTCCTCTCTCGTTTCCCCCACCTGAGTTATCATCTTTCATGTTATAATTCAATTCAATATAAAGGTGCAAGCGAGCTGGACAAGAATGACGAAAATAATCCCTGGAGAAGGGGAACAAGAGGGACAAAGGACAAACACAAATCTCCAAACACAGCTAGGTGACTGGTGAGCGAGCGAAAAAATCTGCCTGGTCCGGGTTCGATACCCGGAAAAGGCGGATTTTTTCGGTCGCGCATTCTGAACTGTAAAGATCAGTTCAGAATGGGAACTACTTTGCGCTGCCATACCGCGAAACGGCCAAACCGCAAGACACAGCTTCTCGCCGAAGGCCTTCGGAACGCTCGGAGCCGGTCGGATCCTCCTGCCCATACGACCGCAGCGCCGCCACGTACATCCGGGACCTTTCCGTGTCGGCGCCTGATCCCACTACTCCTTTCTAGTATGCGCCGCCTTTTTCACCGCTTGGTGGCGGGTATGTCGACGTGTAATTTCTTGTTTCCATACTTTATGAACTGCATTTGTTTCTTTTTTGATCTAGAATACTGAACAAAAACTCCTTTTATAAATAATTGAAACGGTTCGCGCCACTTATATTTTGTATTTCGACTAAACAGAAGCTTTTAGCGGCTCTGACCAGTAGTAAGCCCAGGACCAAAAACGTCACATTTTGCGCGCTTTCGGTACCGTGGGTCGCCCTCGTCGGTGGAGGAGGTTTCCGCGTCGTCCGGTTAAAATATGACGCACCGATATTTAGTTACTCTCTCCGTGCCCGCTGGCTTGCCCGAACCCCAAGAGACGTGGAAACCGCAAAAAAGGTAGACGCTTAAATATGATTGCAGGGCCCCTTTAAGCAAACGAAACAGCTTGCGAAAGGCGGCAAAAAGAAGAAAAGAAAAAAAAAACGGAACTGAGAAAAAAAAAAAAAAAAAGTGGAGCTTTTTTTTTTATTTTTTTGCACAGGGCAGTTTGGTTACGGGGGGCCGCGCGCAAGGAGATAGGAAAGATAAGCGGAGAGCCCTCGCCTAAGCAAACAAAACAGCTTGCGAAAGGCGGCAAAAAAAGAAAAAAAAACTCAAGGAACTATAAAAAAAAAAAGTTTTTTTTTGCACAGCTTAGTTCGGTTACGGGGTCGGGCGCCGCGCGCAAAGAGATAAGTTACTTCGATTTTTTCAGGATAAAAGGTCGGTTCATTATGCGAGTAAATACGGACGCAAAAATTTTACTTCGCGTAATGAACCCCCCTCCCCTCCCCCCCCCCCCCCCCCCCCCCCCCCCCGAACTTTGCATCGATTTTTCGGAAAAAAAGTGCGTTCATTCTGCGAGTAAATACGGTAAGGGTTTTTAATGTAAGCACATGGAGGCACTCCATGTTGGAGATCCCTGACCTGCATTTCTTTGTTTTCTACAGGATTGACAAGCGTAACAAGTACAGTCGCCGTAGGCGCTTCAATGACGATGAAGATATCGACTACATCAACGAGCGCAACATGAAGTTCAACAAGAAGCTGGAGCGTTTCTATGGTCAATACACGGCCGAAATCAAGCAGAACTTGGAGAGAGGAACAGCAGTGTAATTCATGAAGTTGCTTCATGGCCATTTGCACTAGACTGACTCATGCACTTGGAAACCACTTTTAAACCCATTAATAAAAGCGATTGTATAAACAGTTTCCGGCACATGGGATGTGCCGGACCCATGTTGTAAAAAAACTATCTCTAAACTCCGGTCTAAAAATATGCTTTTCGTTTAAGGCTTGTCAAATAGACTGCTTCCATAAATCCCTGCATGCAACGCGGCACGCATTGCACTCTGGGAACTAGTTGGCCAGGGAGGAGAGTGACATGGTTTTGGTTTCGATCGACACGTCGACAAGAGATTATACACAGAGCGTGGACTTTAAACGGCAGTCATCTCATGTTTTCTGGTCCCGAGAGCGCCATTCGTGGTCTTTAAACTAACCTAAATGGCCAGACCTCGAAGCTTTAGCACAAGCCCAAGACGTATAACTTGTCGTAACGCATGCTTGTATTTTTGTACTTGAGCTTTTTTGTTAGCGTTTCGAGGTACATGGACGAGCCATTGCGGGGAATCTCGATGCTGCGAAGCTCGGGGATCTTGCTTGTGTACGAATCAACAAGCTGTAGCAATCAATAAGTATGCATACATCAAGCTCGCGCCTTTACATTAGTATTGTTGATCAGGAAGTCTGTTCGTTTTGGGCATCTATAGACTAAATATAACTTTTTGCAATTACTGTTTTTAATATGCTTCAGTACGCGCGGTAAAACTCGGGAGGCGACATTGAAAAGCTCCATCTGAACACACTTCTCATCTCTTATCTGTACTGCCCAGCAGCACTGCACGAAGTAAAGTCCCCACCCACTTTCATTCCACTAATATTCAACATTGTGTATGCGCATAAAGTTATCCTGCAATCATATAGGCACATTCGCGCACACAAACCGTTTTAAGAAAGCAAAATTCGAGCTCTTGTGTGAAGAATGTTGCACCGTTCGCCGGATGGGCATGAACCCCTATGCGGTGCGCCAAACAAACAAAATTATTCAAAGCGCATTCGACGGTTGCTAATGGCCATAATATTTGTTATGTGTTTGCTTTCTTCCTGACCGAGTATGCCGAGATAATTATAGACACATCGTTCAGGCACAGTTCTTGGGCGCGAGTAAAAGCTCCTCCAAAAAGACTTTGCGAGGAGTAGGGGACGCCTGTTAGGGCCTCCGTCGTAGCTAGCCGATCTCAGCATTTGAAATAACTTAATCTTCTATCAGCATAAAATATGAGTGGGAGATATGTGATGACACGAAGAAGACATCATAGTAACTTTTGTGCAGTAGTGAGGTCGAATTTATTGCGTTTCCTTAATAAAAGTTCACGCGCCAACGCTGGGCTCAACTTTGATACTTTTGTGAGGATACGGCTCGCTTTTCGCCCAGTGAAGTAACAAGAAGCGGACATTAGGCAAACAAAATACGTGTAGGGCTCAAGGTGACCAAATTTCAGTTCTAGTTCACTGGTATTGGACGGGATTACTGACAATGAGCTCAAAGATGTACTCGTGGGGTGAGGCAACTAAGCCACATCTTACTACATTTGCACACGCTCGCAGAATATCCGGTATTTTGGGAACCAAGGAAAGATGAGTGTATCGTACATTCGTAAAAAGTCACATAATCGAAAACGCAAGCAGCGCGTTCGGTCGCGGCGTGATAGCATGAGATGAAGCTGCTCAGTCGAAACCGAAACTGAGTGGCCAACTAGTTGCCAGAGTGCACTGTGTGGTATTTCGCCACGATGGGGCGCGTCGGTTTTGGAAGAAGTCTATTATGAGGTGCTGGAGAAAACCAGCCTTCTGCGTTAAGTCCTTATTTCCAACTCTTTTTGTTCGCCCATTGAAAAGCATACGGGAAGGGCCTCAGCACGCACCTCGTATTACTGCGCCGCGGCCGTCTGCTTTCTTCACCGTCATCATGGCAACGAGCCTTACAGGAAAAGCGCGTTTCTTTTCTTTTTTTTACATCCCGTGCCGTTTTTTTTTTTTTTTATCCGTAACATGGATTTAAAGTATCGAACAGCCCAGTTTCCTTCCTTACCCTTCCCCATCAGAGTTCATGCTCCCACAGCATTCGCTCCCTCTGCTTGCATCCTCTTTTTCTAGGTTAGTCTGTCGGAGCAACTGTCCGATTTAGATCTCTCCCAAGCCTTTGCAAGTTCACTATGATGGTGGTTCTACTGCAATTATAGTTTGTAATGGTGCACCCAAGTTTACTTCCATTTACTCCAGTAAGGGGGGTATTTTTCATGATGTGCACAGTGAAGGTTTGCAGACATGTTTCTTGTCGCTATGTTTCATCATACAACTTCTAGGAAATTGTTTTCTTCCGTTTTCTGAAATGCCACTGCTTGCAGACGGTAGTCAGCTCCTATATGTTTAACAGCACGACATGACAATGGCATAACCAGTTTTTTTGGGGGGGAAGGGGGGGGGGGTGTTTAATGGGGCTGAAGCTTCATACTAAAAAAAATTCCTGGCTATGCCATTGTAGCCCGACACTTGAGAAATGTGACATTGACACACTTGTTTTTCTCAGTCAGGTGATGGTGACATTTATTTTAGCTCAGGAGAGCCGTGGCATTGCAGAAAAGGCAAGTCGCCCATACCATGAAGGCCTGTGGCGCTGCGTCTAATGATGATGCAATGACATTTCACAGGTGAAAGAAAATTGTAATGATGGTTCAGGTGGAGCTTGTGGGCAAGGGTGAGGGGTTGTGGTTTTGATATTTGGTGCAGCTTGTTCTGGGGTGGTCTTGAGGAAAAGCCAGGGATTGGAAGCATTGGTGGCCATCACTTCATCTCCAGTTGGGCAGGTGAAGGGTCAATGGACACTACCCAGAGAAAAAAAAAAAATTTGCAAAAAACATTGATTTTGAAAAATTATATATTTACATCCATCTACATCCAGAGAGTATTCCCAGAAATTTTCACTAGTTTACACTGCATAGTTAATCTTTTATAAATTATTTTCTGCCTATTGAAGCTAAAGAAAAAGGTAGGGTTTGGAGCACATTGACTAAAATGGAATTTATACCAAAAAGTGGAACGGAGAAAAATGTGTTCAATCTATCGTTTGATAATGGCAATACAGGTAAGGCTCGTTCTTCACTTTTCCTGACTGAAATTTAATAAGGAATGTGCCTATTGTGCCTATGGAGTTATGGAGTTTGTCACTTTACGGGTGTCTTTTATAAAAAAATGTTGACATTTTGTCGGGAGACGCAGAAGACCAAAAAGTTGACCAATTCTGCAGAAGAGAAAATTGCAACAAGGCATGTAGTTGGGCTAGTTGGTGGTACATACTGTTTGGTGGGAACAGCGCAAAGACGTAGAATGAGGTCGAAGAAACACACGGACAGGGCGCTGACCTACAACTGAAAGGTTATTGCTCTGCAAAAAAGAAATAAACACAGAAAGGAGGAAGGAGAGAGAACAAACAAATCAAGTCAATAACATACGGCATCACCCACGCGTCCTCACACGAACCTGCCACACTTTCTTACAAAATCTACCTCGTCATTTGCAAGGGCAACAGAAGGAGCGCTCACACACGTGTCAGTTCCGATAGACGCCATAAAATATGCTTCGTCTATCGCCCTCGCAGTTTTGTTTTTGTGACGAGATAAAATCTTTATATCATGAAATGACGGCGTGCAACCACCTATCACAATGGACCGCTAGGTTCCCTGAGGGCGAGGAGCGCAAAGAAAGCGAATGCTCCCTTGCCCTTACGTTCACACAACGCCTAGTCTGACCAATATACACCCTGCTGCAGGACAGGGATCTGGTACACGACCCTGCTTGCACAAGCGACGTACGGGGTGAAATGTTTGACGTCGTATTGAACAAAAGGGCGTCCCTCTACTCGCAGCAGCACAAAGGTGGGACAGCTTAGATGCATGGCGCCGAGAAGACGACAGGCACCTCAAACCTACCGGCAACGCGCTTAATTCGGTGGGACAAGGCATGGATATACAGGAGTACGACAGGTCTGGTGGATGGCCTTTGTTTTTAACCAAGACTTGTGTGCCCCCTAAACATCCTAACCTAACATCCCAGCAAGGATGTTAGGATGTTTAGGGGGCACACTTGTCCTGGGAAAAAACAAAGGCCATCCACCAGACCTGTCATACTCCCGTATAATCATTCCTTGTCCCACCGAATTAAGTGCGTTGCCGGTAGGTTTAGGATGTTTAGGGGGCATACTAGTCCTGGGAAAAAACAAAGGCCATCCACTAGACCTGTCGTACTTCCGTATATCCATGAATCAAAATTAACTGTTGGGCTAGTTGTCTACACATTGTATAAAAATTCAAAAGCGGAAACTCCTGTCCCCTCTTTTTTTCCTTGGTGTTTGCGCTTTTGAATTTTTATGCAACGTATATCCATGCCTTGTCCCACCGAATTAAGCGCTTTGCCGGCAGGTTTGAGGTGCCCGTCGTCTTCTCGGCGCCATGCATCTAAGCTGTCACACCTTTGTGCTGCTGCGAGTAGAGAGGGACGCCCTTCCGTTCAGTGCAACGTCAAACATCGCACCCCGAACGTCGCTTGTGCAAGCGGGGTCGTGTACCAGAACCCCCTGGGCAAGGGAACATCCGCTTTCTTTGCGTTCCTTGCCCTCGGGGAACCTAGCGGTCCAGGTGTGGTTGCACGCCGTCATTTCACGATATAAATATTTTGTCTCGTCACAAAGACAAGACTGCGAGGGAGATAGACGAAGCATATTTTATGACGTCTATCGGAGCCGACAGGCCGACACGTGTGCGAGCACTCCTTCTGTTGCCCTTGCAATGACGAGGTAGATTTTGTAAGGAAGTGTGGCAGGTTTGTGTGACAGCGCGTGGGCGTGGGTGATGCCGTATGTTATTGCTGATTTGTTCGTTCTCTCCCCTTCCTCCTTTCTGTGTTTCCCTTTTTGCAGAGCAATAATCTTTCAGTTGTAAGTCAGCGCCCTGTCTGTGCGTTTCTTCGACCTCGTCCTACGTCTTCTTTGCGATGTTCCCACCAAACAGAGAAAATTCATAGAAATCATTGACTTTTTACAAAAAGAACTTTCCATAGGTCCTTGGCATTCTGCTACATATCTAGCAAATAAAAATTTTGAATATTGTGATAGTTTTCCAACGATAGATTAACTAAACAATGTAGGGGTGTTGCTGATAGAAGCTGCCCCAATTTCCTTCCCACTTAACCGACAGACCTGAAATTTTGTTATGCACCCTCTAGCATGACCTACACTGTAAATTTCATTAATTTTAAGCCGAGGGTTCAAAAGTTGACCCTCCCAGGGGGTGTATCCCCTTAAGGCTGGGCTTTTTGCAGTGCCCATTTTTGTGCTCGTGGCAGTCGGGGTTTGTACGAACAAACAGCATTTTACGCATAACTCCAATGTTGCAGCGCACAAAAGCAGACGATTTGTCTGCGTCATAACTATGCTTTTAACATCGGAGGTATGAATAATGAACTTGCCCAGACTGCTGTCTTAAAAGTAGGCGCCCCGGATGAACAGATTCTTCTGCATGGCAGTTTTGATGAGTGTTTAATTGTGAGAGAAATCACAGAAACTGGTGATCGCGTGTTCATAATTATGGCACGTTCAGGATGTTCTATCTCGCCCCTAAGCTAACAGTGTGGTGGGAGCTACGCGCTTAACAGATCAATCGACTGCTTCCCTCATAACACCTCGGTTTCTGCCTGCATAGCCTGCTTTATCGCCACCTGCACTGCCTGCTTTGCCACCGCTTTGCCCCCCCCTCCCTTGCCCTCGCTTCACCCTTGTGTATCTGCATCATTTTCGTGGTTTTTGCCCAGCTTGTTCTGCAGTGGGCGAGACAAGAATCAATGCACATTCTTTTTCGTAGTTTATTACCCGCACTAATGCCAGGAAAAAAATATTGATTATGTGCACAACATTTTAAAGAATACAGAAAACACTAAAATAAATGAAGTGAAAAAAAAAAAAGAAATCAGGATATGGGACCAACCAACAAAGAAAGGCACAACACCAGGTATGTGACATATAAAAGATTCCTGTAAGCATTTTTCAGTAGCCATGCAAGTCATTCTCTGAATTTTCTGCCTTGAAAGCACACAGCTATTCAAGCAACATAGGTAACGTAGAAGCATGCAAAGAATCGCACAGCACCAGACATAGGACATTAAAAAAAAATATTCCTGCAATGCATGCGTATCATATGTGCACAAACTTTAACACTTTCTGTGCCTTCCTCGCAGCAGCAGCAGCAGCAGCAGCAGATCTCTTGAGGTTGACTTTGTGGAGACCATTTCACTATGTGCAGATGCAAAAGGAGACGTTCATAGCAGAACATTCGGAGAAACTTGTTAGTCTGGTGAATACAGAACGTTTTCCAAATTATCTGCCATGAAAGCACGTACAGAGATTCTGCAGCATGTCTTCTCTGAAGATGCCTCATCTTCAGAGAAGACGTGCTGCATCTCAATAACATCGGAAAGTTCTCCGGTTACTCCACCAGTTCCAAGGCAGGTTGATGTAGGCACAGACATTGCGCTGAGAGTTGTACCTGCGGTGTCCCTTTAAAGCCCGACGCACAAAAAGAAATTCTTCCTGGGAGAAGATTTCTCTACTTTCCTTCGTTCCCCCCTCCAATTTTTTTTCACACTTCCTTACGTGCGTGCAAGTCCAAGATCTGCGACGAAGTTCAACACCTCTTCAAAGTGCCTCATTTGCCATCTGGGTTCATCGAGTCATGAGGCAGTAAACTAAAGGAAACACATGGCCATGAGGATAACCGTGAATTGTGTATAACTACTCGAAGAGCGGCGAATAAATTTTCCCTCCATGAGCCACACCGGAGTGTCGTTCAGATCATTAGTTTTCGTCCGTGAAAAAAATTAAGAGCCAAGCTCCATCTGTGCTGGTGCAGTCGCACCGCAGAAACTCCCGGCCATCTAAAGTTGTTCCCTCGATGATGAGCGCCTGCACAGTAGGTGGCTCGTGTGGGCAGTCTGCTTTCCTCTTTCTCGCAATCTTGCGCAAGGCTTCATTGCTTGGAATGTGTTTCCTTGAAGACGCTGCTACATCTGTCGTGACTAGGTGCACAATCTTCACGGGTGCGTCATGCGAAGCCGCCACCAGAGCTTTGATCCATTCTTGAGTACAGAGCACTGTAACCCTGCAGATATCCAGAGTATGATTTGCGTGCATCACTGTCTTCGAGGTGATCTTGTGAATAGGAAGGTTGGTAATCAGTCTAGCGTTGCTTTCGCCTTGCTTTCTAAACCTCCAATAGGCAACCTGCAATGCTGTTTGGTTTGGCGCCATCTAGCGACTGAAGCTAGAAATATTGGGTATCCCTGGGAGTGGCGGCTGCATTGTTCAAACGTGAACTTTTACCCTGGTGGCACTGCTTAGCCTAGTGTCTGAAGCAAGAAATACTGGGTATCCCAGAAAGCCGTGATCGTGTAACATGCCAGTACAGCGGAAGCTACGGCCCTGGCGGGCCAATAGGAACGTATCACCGGAGCGTGCCTCTATTCTGAAGAAGTATCAGCCTTTTCGCTCCGTCATGCTCCAATATGTGTGGGTTGCGCTCGCATACGTCGCGCATTTCGAAGCCTTCGGCACGCAGTGTGGGGCTTATTGTTCACCCTTTGCCAAGTTATGAGACAGGGTGTAACCGTGGGCTCCCACTCTGCTGGCGCCGCCTGGCTGTTGCCGGCTGGCTACAGTGTCTAGAACCCACTTTCTTGTCCAGCACGTCAACATAACTGCAACTATGTTTCACTTTCTCTTGGGAACACATAATTAAGTCTTTGTCCATGTCCCTTCAAATAGGTGAAATGATTACTGCCGCACATTGCTGCTTCTCTTGTACTCTAAACACTGGGAAGTGCTGTTTTTTTCTGCTCGCCAATAAGAGCTGTCCTGTCCGACTGATATGCCTAGCTTTACAACATAGCTTTGCAACAGCAAAACACAAAATTTTAAATCAGTTTAATCTACATTGATACTGGTGTCTTTATAGAAAGAGACAAAAAGGCTCGTGTCAATGAAAAGTGCTTTGGCGTAAAACAAACAAAGTGGAAATGACAGAGCACATCATTTATTTTTCGCCTTTTGTAGTTTACGGCGTTGTGAATTTTCAGCATTTTGATTTTTCGGCATTTCAACGTTTCGATTTTTTGGCGTTCTGACATTCGGCCTTTTTTATATTTCGGCCTCTTGATTTGATTTTTGCCGTTTTGATAGGGACCCAATCTCTGGTCTACGGTGGCCTTCTTTAGTGATGCAGAAAAATTCAGCACTTGGGCTTTCTTATCAAGGAGGTCTTCGACCAGTGTGCCAATGCCAAGAAAAAAAAGATAACCAAGCGAAGCGAGAGCTGACACCAAAACAGTATTGTCAAAGAGAACCAAAACAAGGCTCGTGCCCAGAAGCCAGGGGCACACTTCCAGTGATGGGGCAGTGGCGCCATCTTTGTATTTGTAAACTAAAAAAAAAAAATATTACACTTTTTAAAAAAAAAAAAAAAAAACATTCCTCCCTTTTCTTAAAAAATGTGTTAATACTCTTACTTTGTTAAAAAATAAAAATACACTCCCTTTTCTAAATCTTCATACTCTCCCTTTGTTAAAAAAAAACAAAAACAATCTTTCCCTTAAATTTTTACAAGGAAGAAAAACAAATCAGCAACTGAACATTACATTGCAAAACAGTGAGTAACAGTAGAGCAAAAGAAAAAAAAACATAGGGCAAAACCATTGCATCGAAGCAAGTAAATACAATGAATAAAAATCCACTGTCATGATTCTGATACAAGTCCAGCAGTTTGTATCAAATACACTTTCACTAACACACTCGACAAACTCGTCGAACCCTCGTCGTACAAGTTCACAAAATGGTCTGTAAAACGTTCTGGCAGCCTCCAAGATAGGCCTTGGTGCGGGGGATTCAAGCGTCCACACCTTGAGTCTCTTCCGGTCTGGGGAAGGCGTGGGTTGTGTTAGGATGGGTGGTGTTGAAGACCCCCACACAGGCGACAACACTCCTGCTGCCCTTTCTGCACTGCTGAATGTAGTGCCGAGCGAGGACCCAGAACCCTCAGTCGCAGCCTTGGTACGGCTGGATGCCCAGCTGACATCTGCCGACAACTCAGACGACTGGAACTCCTCGGCCGCCAGAGCACCTTAATGCTTGGGCACAGGACCCTCAGCTCTAGGAGGACCCTTGGGAACAGGAATGGGACTTTCAGCCCTAGCAGGACTCTCAAGAACTGGAACAGGACTCCCAGCCACATCGGGAACCGGGACAGGACTCCCAGCCACAGGAAGACTCAGGAACCGGACCCGAGGCAGCAACCTTGTCCTCTGGATCTGGCAGAGCTTCAGCAGGAACAGCTTCTGCACTGGGCAAAAGGGGGCACCGGGGGGAAAGAGGAACTCGAAAATCAAGGACTTTCAAGGATCTGTAAGAATTCCAGGACTTTGAAGGCCTTGAAAACGCTACTTTTAAATTCAAAGGTTTTCAAGGATTTCAAGGACCCGCATGAACCCTGGACACTGAGGCCTGACCTGGTCACCTTCAAGAGAGGCACTGCTCCAGGCGCTGTGGGAGGCGGTGGACGTGGAGCCGCCGGAGACGTTCCAGGGGCAGCGACTCTGGGCCGTTGCCAGGAAGGCCACCTCTGGTGCCGACTAGTCCCATCAACGTTTATATCAGGGACGTCTTCTTCCTGGACCTGAGGAGATCGCCGCCTCAGAGTTTCAGACGAACACCACCTTGGGAGAGCCGGGGGAGGAGGAGGCGTAGAGGGTATGCAAAGACACAAGAGATGTTCCACAAGCGCCCCGCCGACTGTGCAAGAGAGGTCTTGGACGAGCCAGCTGAGGCAGGAGTGGAGGACGTCAGGGGGTTCCTCGCAACTTGGGCTGAAATCATGACTGGCCCACTCCCACCTCCAATTGTGGAGCCGTTAGCCAAGCCGGACGGGGAAATAGACATCTTCCCTGTCACTGTCGGGGAGCTGCGGGAAGTAAGCTTCCCCCAACTCGGCGCCAGGTCCAGACGGCTTCACAGCTCGGCTTCTAAGGGCAGTGCCCTCTACCATCTTGAGGGTGCTGCTCAACCTGCTGATGCTGCTTGGCCGGGTCCCCGCTGCACTTCAGGCGGGCCGTACGGTGTTCATCCCCAAGACGAATCCTGCAACGGAGGCAGGCCACTTCCGCCCGATTACGATGGCACCGGTGGTCCAACGGCTGCTCCACAAGATTCTGTTGTTGTTTGCGAGTTTTATGGTGCAAGAGCTACGATGGCCATACTGCACCAAACTAGGTAAACTAAAATTAACTAGAAACAATGTACCAAGAAAGTATTTCCGCTATAGTTTGTGTAAAATCGCTATATTTTCTAGAAAAGCTAAGACACGGTCAATTGATATTAGAGGCTGCTCTCCTAGGAACCGAGTAGGATGAAAAGGGATGCAGTACTTAAAAAGCTCAGGAAAGAAGAACTTGTGCTGTTGTAGAAGACCAGGGCAAAGAAAAATATGTCGATTGGACAAGGTGTCTCCACAGTGGTCGCACACTGGTGGTTCCTCACCAACAAGTAGGTATCGATGGGTGAGCAACGTGTGGCCAATCCTCAACCGGCACAGAAGCCGTTTGGGCCTTGTTGGGTCTTGGTATGGTATGCATGCGTGTGATGGTAAGATGTTATGCGACAAGGCGGCCAGCCTATCTGCAGCCTCGTTGCCTACAATGCCCACATGGCTCGGGATCCAACAAAACCTAATATCCTTCCCATCTCCGAGGCCCAGTTGAACTTTAGCACATACAAGTTGAGTCAGCTTGTTCGTGGTTGGATAAAGTGAACATGCTGTAGTAACAACGCTCCGAGAGTCCACAAAAAGAACTGCTTTCATCACTTTGCTCCGGATAATATGGTCAAGTACTGACAGCACGCCATATAGCTCGGCAGTAAAAATGCTAGCAACGTTATTTAGCCGTGTCACATGTGTAAACGAATTAGAATGAACAGCAGAGCCTACATACGTTGAGGACTTGGCTCCGTCAGTGTAAAATTGATGATAATTCTTGTACTTCACTTGCAGTGCAAGAAATTCCGGTTTAAATTGAGTGGGGAGACATTATGTTTATTTAATCTTGTGAAGTACCAATCACAAGCTATAGGCTTGATATCCCATGGGGCAATATGACATGCACTTTCTATGAGGTAGACATTTTCACAAGGCAGGCCAAGGGAGAGACGAAGGTTCTTAAAACGAAGACTCGGGGGGTCAAACAACAGTTGGCTCGTGGTCAAAGGTTCGACAAAATCTAGACTCTCGGATATAAGTGTGAGCAGGATGACTAGAATCCGACAGAACTTTGTAAACATAGATAAGACTAAGGAGCTGTCGCCTTTTCTCGAGTTACATTTCATTAGAGTCAACATACAAGCTTGGGATAGGGGATGTTCGAAAAGCACCACTTGCTATACGCAACCCAAGATGGTGCACTGGATCAAGCATCTTCAATGCAGATGGCCGAGCAGATGCATACACAATAGCACCATAATCAAGACGTGATCGTACGAGAGAGGAATAGAGACGAAGCAGACACCTTTTATCGGAGCCCCAAGACTTGCGAGAAGGAACTTTTAGGACATTCATAGTCTGGATACACTTTTGCTTCAGCCACTTGAGGTGAGGTACAAAGCCAAGTTTATGGTCGAAAATAACTCCTAGGAACTTATGCTCTGGTCTTACTGCAATGCTATTTCCATTTAAACTGAGAATCGGATCTAACCAAAGCCCACACCACAGAGAAAATGGGACACAGATTGTTTTTTCTGAAGAGAACTTAAAACCATTTTCATTTGCCCATTTAGGAATTTTATTTATGGTTAGCTGCAGCTGCCTTCCACAGCTATAGACATATTACAAGATGCCACAGAAATCTGAATATCATCCACATATAGGAAGTACGACACGGAAGAAGGTATAACCCGACAGAGAGAATTAATTTTTACGGCAAAGAGAGTGACACTCAGGACTCCGCCCTGAGGAACACCGTTTTCTTGAACATACGAATCGGATAATGTAGTGCCTAGCCGGACACGGAAAGTGCGTCCACACAGGAAGTTCTTTACGCAATGAAGCAATCGGCCACATACTCCATACATAAATAGGTCACGCAGGATTTCATGTTTCCAAGTGGTATCATAAGCCTTTTCTAAGTCAAAAAAGACAGATACACAATGCTGCTTATTCACTAATGCCTCGCGTACAATTGTCTCCAGCCGAGCTAAATGGTCGGTCGTGGAGTGTCCAGATCGACAGCCGCACTGATTCATGTCCAAAATATTGTGTTGTTCGAGGAAATAAACAAGCCGTTTATGAATTAACCTTTCAAAAGTTTTCCCCAAGAAACTCGTCAGTGCTATTGGCCTGTAACTGGCAGGAGAGGAAGGGTCTTTTCCAGGCTTCAGCAGTGGAATAATCTCTGCCCGCTTCCATTCGGAAGGGAAGTATGAGTCTTTCCACAAATCATTCAAGTAAACAAGAAGGGCAGCAAGTGATTCCTCGACAAGTGTCAGATCATCTCATAATGTATTCAGTCAGAACCAGGAGACGAGTTTTTCCGGACATTAAGTGCCGTTTGGAGCTCGATCATCGTAAACGGTTGATTGTAGGGTGCAGAGGCTCCTCCTGCCAAGCTGACTTTCATTCTTTCTGCATCTGTCTTAAACTTCAAAAACGCTGAAGAGTAATGGGAGGACTTGGAAATTGCTGCAAAATGTTCACCCAACACATTAGCCTGGTCGCACAACGAATCCACTGAAGGAAAAAGAGGAACTGTAAAGCAGCGGTATTTGCCTTCGACTTTGTGAAGTCGTTCCCACGCTTCCTTCGCTGGGACGTAGCTGCTGATGGACGTCAGATAACTTTTCTAAGACTTCCTTTTTGCCTGCTTCCTGACTGAACGAGCTTGAGCTCTATATCTCTGAAACTCTAACAAATTCACAGATGTTGGATATCTCCGAAATATACCCCAAGCCTTGTCCCGTTTTTTCTTAGTGGTGGAACATTCTTTATTCCACCATGACTTACATTTTTTTGCAATGTTACATGAAGTCTGGGGGATGGAGCGAAAGGCAGCATTTATGATCTGATCTGTAATGTATGTGGTGGCTTCATCATGTGTTAATGGCAAAAACATGCAAGGTTTGAGCTCCGAGTTAAGGCTAAAAAGACCTCAGTCTGCCTTTTCCAGTTTCCAACGTGGACTGTGTTTCATGGGGCTTGGAATAGAAACCTGACTCTCCAAAACGACTGGAAAGTGGTCGCTCCCAAAAGGGTTATTTAAAACTTTCCAAGTAAACATAGAAAACAGTGAGGGGGATGAAATTGAAAGGTCAATAGATGTAAATGAGTTGTGAGCAGCGCTAAAAAAGGTTGGCTCTTTCGTATTCATAAGGCAGAGCCCAGAAGATAATAAAAATCGCTCAATTGCCCCACCACGCGAGTCCTGACGGGCGCTACCCCACAGGGGGTGGTGAGCATTAAAATCTCCTCACAGTAAAAATGGATGAGGAAGCTGTGTAACCAGCCGTTGAAGATCATGAAGATGCAGTGAAGTGTTAGGTGAAATATAAATAGAAACGACAGTAATAAGGCGGTCCAAAAGAAGTCGTACAGCCACAGCTTAAAGAGGCGTAGCCAGAGGAACGTGAGAGCAGGCGACTCCATTCTGGACAACCACAGCTACTCCACCAGATGAATTAGATGCAGGGCGATCAATTCTAAAAACTTGATGGCGGCGCAATATTGACTTATGATGATCATTGAGGTGTGTCTCTTGTAAAGAGAGAGCAATAGGACATAAATTGTCCATAAAAAAAATTAACATCGTCAATATTACGTAAAAGACCGCGGCAGTTCCACTGCATAAAATGAAATTTAGTCATGCCTCTAAAAACAAAATAATAATAAAAAAAAATTAAAACGTTAAACTTGTAACACTAGAAGGGAATACATAAAAACTTACAAATCTGCCGCTCATGGCAACAATTGATCAACATCATCACTTTGGGGAGATGACAGGTTTTTTGTTCTTCTGTTTACTCTTAGGAGTCTGCCAGTCCATGTCGTCTTGGTCAGACGCATGAATGGAGACTTCTGTGCCCTCATCCATTGCCTCTACTTCTTAAGGCGAGGCCTTTGCTGCTGGTTTGGGCAGGCTCGGAGGATGGGGCGCCATGCCCTGTCCACGACCAGCCCCAGCCAAATGGGCGGAGGAGGTGCTGGGCAGGGAATCGCCCAAGTGCACCCGTTCCTGCCCCTTAGGAGCTGCAGGAGCGGCACGAGAGCCATGCCAATTCCTCGATGATGCTCTCTCCAAGCAGTGTGGGCGAGAGTGTCGACAAACCACATGAAAGCGACGGGAGCAAGCGACCAAGGCGAGGAGCGCCGATTTCTAGAAATCCAAAAACCGAGCGATGCGACACGCGACCGTGGGAAATCTCCGCCGCTCGTCGCTGACTCTCGTCGCTCGCTTAATTGCTTACATGCGGTTCAGCCTTTACGTGGCATAGCGGACGACAGACTAGGAAGGCAGGAAGGGGCAACAACCGCAGGATCCTCCACCACAGTGGTTAACCACTGCGGTAGAGGATCTCTGAAGCTGAATGTATACACTGGCGGTTGTATTACTAGCTTGGCTGTTCAAATTAGGTTGCAAAAAGGTTCGGTTTCACATGATCCTGATTATGAAAATGAATCCAAATGGTCGAGCCTGCTTACCTGGCTCGCTGGCGCCGAGACAGAGACAGCCATTGCTCGCGCTGCAATGAGGACGGAGAGAATTCCGAACACGCTCAGGCGAAGGACGTCGTCAGCCACAGGAACCATCGGCAGAGGCAGCACTCAAGGCACCGGCAAACTATCTTATTCAAACACAGCAACTTGTAACTCCCGAAGCAGAACAGCAGCGCGAACAAAGACCCAAGTTCGCGCCACTAACGCCAGATCCGGTTTTCTTTCTTTTCTTTTATTTTTTTTTTTTTTTTTGTTTTTTTGTTTTTGTTTTCGGAATTGCGCCGTTGTCGTCTCAGAACTGTGGCCAACCCCGCCGAGTGGACAAAAATGGGAGGCGAAGGAAGGGACGTGGCCTTGGTCAAGGCCCATCGCAACAATGCTCTCTGGTTCTGGGCACGGAGGTCTCTACAGGCGTGACTTCGAAAAATCACGGTATGAAGTCCATTTGCGCCCGCAAGGTGTCCGATTACTTCATATCCTCAATTTTTGCTGTAAACAAATTTTTTTTTTAATTAAGCAAAGTTTTATTTATTTATTTTTAAAGGAAAAACACAGTACACATTGTGACGCATTCAAATTTGGCTCTAGCTACAACTGTAGAAAAAGATCGCAATCATGAGAAGTCCGCTCGAACTGCTGCACCAGGTGCACAGCACGCTCAAGGCTAGGTGCATTAGCTCCTCAGACTCTCTGACTAGACGATCCTCCACGACGCAACTCTCCAAACGCTACTCGTATCCGTAGAATTACGCCAGATGTCTGAGCATTCCAAGATATTCAACAATGGTTTCCCTGTAGTCTCCTGATAAATTTCCTCTACTCAATGACGACGTTCTGAGCCAAGGTAAAATGGACGTCCAAAGCGGAAAGCAAAACGTGAAACTCATTCTGCGTAGCGCCAATGGCCGGGCCTGCCAGGTGAAAAGCCTCGATGACGTATTTCCCATTTCACCAAGTAATAACAGGTAATAACAGTAATAACAGTAATACCAAGTAATAACAGGGCCATGAGTGCGTGAGGGGCGTGAGGGCAGCGAGTGGCATGAGTGCGTGAGGGGCGAGAGGGCCGTGAGTGCGCGAGGGGTGTGAGTGCCATGAGTGTGTGAGGGGCGTGAGGGCGTTGAGTGCATGAGGCCCCCTTCAGACGGAGCAACTTTCTCAGCAATTTCAATGTTGCTGGCAAGTTGTTCCCCAGCTTTCCCTAGATCGACACGAGCTAAGATCGGGTCCAGCTCGAAACAAGCGAGCAACTCGGAGCAATTTGAAGACGTCTGAAGAGGCTGCATCCAATCAGGGACGAGATATTTTCACGTGATACCTTGTGCCGGTGATGATGAGAACAAAAGACTTGGTTCTGGATTGCAATTGATCGTTTTCGGAAATAAACTACAGTTGAACCTCGAATTTACGAAACCCGATCTTACAAAATCCGCGATCTAACGAAGAAATTTTGATTCTCTGTAAGGTAGGGCTCAATGCTTTTCTGAACTCGAAATAACGAAATAATGTTCAGATTTAACGAAGCTTTTTTTTGAAAATAAATGCAAGTAAAACGAGGTCGTTTTACGGATATTTCGAAAAGAAAGACTCAGAAGATTGTCACTATGGTGCATCAGTAACATTGAGGAACCCGAAGTCTGTATTTTACGGAACTCCATGCAAAAACGAACTGTGCATCACAAGCTTTGAGTAAACTATACCAGATGATGCTGGCGGCGGTATTTCACGTCGCGTGCAATAGATGGCACCGCCGACGTTCGCCGTCGTTTTGGCCGTTTGCGGAGCCGAGATCAGTGTTTCTTTGTTCCTGGGTCCTCCCTGTTGTCACGTCTTTATATTCCTCTACCAACACGTCTACGTCGCCGCCAAAGAAGAAAAGTTCTCTCTCTAGAAGAAAAAGCGAAGGTAATTAACGCTGTTGCCACTGGACGTAAAAAATGTGACATTGCTACAGAGCACGACATCCCAGCGAGCACGTTGTCAACGATCTTGAAGGGGAAGGATGCTATCCTTCGAGCGGCTTCGTCAGGGAAGGCGACGAAAAAGAAAAACCTCAAGACTATGCCGTACGAAAAGTTGGAAGAAGCGCTTTACGCGTGGTTTATGGACGTGCAAGCCAAGAACGTTCAGATATCCGGGGAAGTGCTACAACGGAAAGCGCTCTCTTTTGCATGTCTGCTGGGCTTTGAACTTCAAAGCAAGTTCTGGCTGGCTGACGCGTTTTAAAGAGTGTTACGCAGTTGTAGGCAAGGTGATATGCGGCGAGGAAAATAGCGTCAACAGGCTTAAGGCCAGCGACTGGTTGTCTGAGAATGTACCGGACATCCTAACAAGCTATGCCCCAGGGACATATACAACGCCGACGAAAGCGGTCTCTTATATCAAATGCTACCGAAAAGAATGCTTGCCCAAAAAGGTGCGTCCTGTCATGGCGGCAAGCAAAGCAAGCAAAGGGTGAAGATGCTGCTGTGCGTCCATATGGATGGGACCGACAAGCGAAAAGTACTGATCATCGGAAAGAGCGCGAACCCGCGCTGCTTCAAAGGATGCAGAGAGCTTGACATGCAGTACAAAGGCAAACGGCAAAGCCTGGATGACGCGCGTGATTTCGGCAAGTGGCTGAAGGAATTCAATGTCGACATGTGCAGCTAAAAAAGGAAAGTGTGCCTTTTGCTAGACAATTGCGCGGCGCACTACACCCCGCAGCTCGAGTTGACGAACGTGCAGCTCCGCTACTTCCCTCCGAACGCCACTTCAGTCATTCAGCCACTCGGCCAAGGCATTATAAACAGCGTGAAGTCTGCGTACAAGTGTCGGGTTATCGACAAGCTGCTGCTGAACCTGGAGCATGATCGAGCCACGAAGATCGACATCTACACGGCCAATGCTCTGATAACGGAGTCATGGAAGACGACAAGGACGTCAGTAATAGTGAACTGCTTCAGGCACGCCGGCTTCAAAACGTCTGACGCCGAGGATCTGTCCAACCTTGAACTCCCGAGCCAAGAGGCCACGCCCAGTTCCTGGGAAGCGCTTCGCCAACTGGGCCACGTGTCGGAAGACTCGAGCTTCAGAGATTATTTAAGAGACGATGCCGATGCCGACATTCAGACGACGGAGGTCCTGGACGACAACAAGATACTGCGGCTCGTCGCTACTGGACAGAAAGATGACGCCGAAGCAGATGACGCCGAAGCAGTCGAGGATCCCGTGCCAACGCCAAGCCAGGTGATGGATACCGTTGACCTCTGAGGTGGTTTGAGTGTGCGCACGAGGGAACTGCGGTTGCCTTCAACGCGCTCACCGCTTACGAGAAGTGTGTGCTTCCGCTTTTGACGAAGCGATCGCAGTCGAAGATCACCAGCTTCTTTCCCGAGCAATAAATTTGTTGTTTTCCCGAGAATTGAAAGCTTTAATACGGTGCCGCGGAAGCAGCTTGGATGCCGCTGCATTAAAGTCGTAATTATCGAATCTAATGGCCAAAAAATGCATTTCCCGATTTTACAAATTCCGCGATGTAATGAAGTAATTTGCGGCTCCAGTCAACTTCATTAAATCGAGGTTTAACAGTATTTCAGAAATATGCATTACTTTATTTTTTAGTATTCCCACCAAGATTTAAATGCATAAAAAAATGTTTATAGTGCGTAATTGTGTGTCTAAATAGTGCAAGAAAAATAAAATGTCATGATGATGGCAAATTGTAGCAACTGGTTGCTGCGTGCGAACGCAAGCAGCACGTGTTCCTGGTGTTGCGACGTCAAGTTTCTGGCCGAAATTGCCCCATCTGAAGCTGGCCTGAGTGGCGTGAGGGGCATGAGTGCGTGAGGGCTATGAGTGCGTGAGGGCTATGAGTGCGTGAGGGCTATGAGTGCGTGAGGGCTATGAGTGCGTGAGGGCTATGAGTATGTGAGGGCTATGAGAGCGTGAGGGCCGTGAGGGTGGTGAGTGCGTAAGGGGCGTGACGGCGGCGAGTGGCGTGAGGACCGTGATTGTGTGAGGGACATGAGG